TTTGGACAGCTCGAAAAGAACTGTGTGTGAACCACTGCCAGATAACACACAATGATCACAAACAGCGCGTTCATTCCGATGATTTGTTAAAATCTGGTCCTATAGATGCAACTAGAGGAAAGGTCAGTTTATGATTCAAATCTAAAGAAGTCATCTATGTTCATGTACTCAGTAAAATTCATCAGATTATTGCTGATTGCATTCAGATGTTCTTGTGAATATGAGGCAGTTCTGTCCTGGTGGTGATTGTACTAGATTAAGACTTAAGTTAAAAATCATCCTCTGAGAACTTCTATAAAATCTAATATCAAAAAGAAGACAAAAAGGCTGATGGACATTAGCAAGTTGAATGTCATCTGCATATAAAGCACCAGGAATTGATAACGGGAAGTTCTTGATCCAGGACACTCACATTAAAGGTGCAGTGTGTTGGATTTAGTGGCATCTAACAATGTAGTTGTCGACTGCAACCCCCCTCACCCTCACCCTCCCATTCCAAGCATGTAGGAGAAACTACGGTGGCCAAGAAAAACACAAATGGCCCCATCTGTAGCCAGTGTTTGGCTTGTCTGTACTACAGGGCTACTGTAAAAATATGGTGGTTCAACATGGCCGACTCTGTGGAAGAGGACCCGCTCCCTCTATAGATAAAAAAGGTCTAATTTTAAGGTAACAAAAACACAACGATTCTTATTTGCAGGTGATTATACACCTACATACTACTTATTAATATTATATTTATTTCTGCCTCCTAAATGTTAAACACTGGACCTTTTAAACCAGACAAATCCAAATGTTCAAATAGAGAATATATAAAAGATGTCTTTTATGTTGTTACATAACCTAAACATCTCATTTATGTAACAGTTTGTCAGGAGGTCAAAAAGATAAAAAAGCATAAAATGAATAAACAAATTAACAATAACTAATAATGTTGCTAAACACATTGTAAAAACGTATTTATTCAAATCTTCAGCTTTTTTTCCCACAATAATATGTCATCTTTTATCTTTAAGTCTTATTTTACTGAATATTTAAGCCCAGTCTCTTTCCAAAGTGTGCAATAGATCCACTGATCCAGTGTCAAGTTGATCTTTAACTAAACCTAACCAAACTTCAACTTAATCAAGCTTTATTTTGAAAGTGTAACCACACGTTGCATATGTATTATTGCTAACTTGACCGTGAAATGAGAACGTGTTGAAAACGGGACACTGCCACTCTAGACCGGTGTGTGTATTATACGCACTGGCGTGTTCCCAGGTTGAATATTTACCAGTTTTATTTAGAAATCTAAAGAAATTTACAATTTACATTTGTCAGAAATAAAAAAATCTGAACTGTTTTAAAGCTTCCCACTCACTTTCTGTTCTTTTATAATGATTACTTTTTTAGTTATGATCATGTCATTTTGTTTTATATACAACTATGTATACTGTTTGGTTTGGCCTATTGACAACATTTAAATTCAAATATCTATAACGTACAACATATTAGACATTGCCAGCGATACAACAGTAAATTGATGGACTTTCGTTGTTCCTAGTGTTTTCACTGTCCACCAACCTTTTATAAAGATGGAGGGAGGCATTACTGTGATGACAATGCTGCAGACGAAAATGAAAAGAAAATTGATGCTTATTGTCACATCACGTCTGAAAATATTCACCTCATCTTAAACAAAGAAAACAGCCACACACTCATATAGACGCTGTATACAGTTGTTTTTGTTTAGCCTGTCCCAGTTTTTACCAGGTCACTGGGTCTTTTCTGCGTTCAAAGCCTAAATATGGAAATATGACGAGGATTATAACATGGCAGCAATTCAGGACACACACACAGTCAGAAACACAACTGCATCGTTATACACATGCAGATATGGAAATATTTAGACCCAAGACACTAAACAATGCACAATGCTTAAAAAAACGCTTTCTCAGAAACACCTTCACACATGCTCATAACACATTTATATCACACTTCTCCTCTCTATGCCAGTCCATCTGCCTCTGAATCTTATTCTTTATGTGTAAAAGTGAGGGCCAAATGGACATGAATTGACTCAGATCTGTGCATAAAGAACCAGAATTAGCATGTAGCACATTAGAGGTGAGCGTTTTATTAAATGGAGTCAAAATAATAACATCCCACTGGGCACAGCGGAGATTTCTGTTCCTCCGTTATTGTCTCATATTTTGTGGAGAAACACACTGAAATTGTACATTGATGGTTTCCAAAAGCGGAGACAATAACAAAGAGAGCAGACTTTGTGTCTTTGCAAATGGACACTGTGTGAGAGCGGGTGTGTGAAAATGTGCATTAGTGTGACTGTAACGCTCGCAGAGCCGCGCTGTTGCCATGACAACGCTACAGGCAAAGTGGGTCAGCAGGCTCCTGCCACACCCCTGTTGGCATGGCAACAAGGCTGGTCAATTAAACCTGAGCAGCACGATGACTCACACACACACACAAACACACACACACAAACCCCTTTCTGTGCAACAGGGAGGTGAAGGAGGGAGGCAGTGTGTGTGTGTGATTCTCTTTATCTTTCTCTGGCTTTCTGTAGGATTGCCGCTCGGTCTGCATGTAGGCTTCAGTGAGTCAGTGAGGCTGACTGTGTGCTTAATTTGAAGACTGTGTGTGCTTAGGCCTATGTGTTCAAAATAGAGACTTTTGAATTGAAAGCTTCTGATATCATTATTATTGTTATGATTATTATCATTCCTGGATAGGCAAGTGCTGAATGGAGCTTGGTGAGCAGCAGTAGAGATCACAACTGGCTGTGATAGGCAGAGACACCTGTCAATCAAGAAAATAAGTCCCAAAATATACCTCTTCTCATGGAAAACTATTACTATCTGTGTATTTTTGTTCTAAAAGTTGGGATTTTTTAAAAATACATTGCAATACGGTTAAGAGATTTTGGTCGCATCTAGAAGCACTTTAATTTAAGACACATCCACAGAGATTTTACCAGACAGATGTAGTGTTTGCCGCTTGATTAAACCCAACGACCTCAACCCTGCCCTCAAAATTTACTCTAATTCTCTCCTGCATATGCTTGTCTACGAGACCGATCAGTTAAACACATTAAATCTACTTATTTAACTATTTGCACTGTTCTAGTTGTACTGGAGACATAATGTGAAGGTGTGTTTATGTTCAATAGTGGAAGTGCAGGAGGACCTTTCTACACCTGAAGAGGACATTAACGTTGACATGTTTTCAAGGGTAACACATTGACATGACATGTGGGGTGTTCTCTGTCCTCTTCATCGTGGTCTATTCTAAAAGAGGAGAGATTAGCCTTTATCTGGCAGCAACTACAGTAAATCACAGTCACAAAGGCGGCCACACAAGTGAGTCATTTTGAAATGCCTGAATTGTTGGTGCATCATTCACAGCCACTGCACAATTATGTAACATGGCAGGTGAAAAACTCTAATTAAGCACATCGACACGGGAGGATGGCAGAGAAATAGACAGAGCGATCACAAGTAAATCTTCACTAGCACTGACTGGCAGACACTGAAAGATCGCATTAGCAATAAAGGATCTGGTCCATCTAGATTTAACTCCAAGTAGCCGGCAGGTTTATATGATTGAATTCAGCTCCGTCACAATGCATTGTGCAGCAGAGCAAACATCTCTATTGTAATTCCACTAATGTCTCCTGCCCGGGATGCTTTTAAAGTGCTGTAAAGTGTGTTGGTAGAAACTGTATGAGGTCTCTGTGTACAGTAGAAGGATTTATGTTTGTCTGTGTAGCTTTCTAATAATGTAAAGATGCTTTGGATATGCCCCATCAAAACTGCAAATATTTCTGTAACTGAGAATATTTTTTCTTCTCTCCTAAGTTATGAAAGTAGTCCTCTCACAGAGTGCACTTCACAAGATAAAGGGTCAGTTCACCCAAATGAAAAACACATTTTACCTTTATCAGCATCAAGCCAACACATTCTCACTCCCAACTCGTCAAATATGGCAGCTTGGCCAGTGCCCCTATGCCTTAAAATATGATGCTCTAGGTACTGCTCGAGGGTAATTTCTGGAAATGCAGGGCTCAGTAGTCAGATTAGCAATAATAAATGTTCGGTTAGACTTTCAAAATTAGGCTTTAACATTGTGAAATAGTCGCAATTTGGTTAGGTTTAAGCACTAAAATACATGACTAGGTTTAGGAAAAGCTCATAAGTTATATAACAAACCTAAAGTAATACGTTACATGAGGTAACTTATGTAGCCTATGTGACTAAAACGAAGTCACGGTTACTTTTGGTTTCACACGAGACACAATTAGCAGTCTCCTGAGTCTACCATCCTATCTCATCCATATACAGGGACTTTCTTGCTCTTTATACTACATCACCAGACTTCAACGGTATATCGAAATATATGCTAGAGGGGTACCTACAGCGTAATAGTTTAAAGCGCAGGGCCACTGACCAGGCCCTCTAGCTGAGATTTGGTTTTATGTGACTGGGTTTTGATATCCTGCCTCCATCCTAATATAGTCGAAGTGAATGGAATTTTGTTTGTGGTGCTTGCAGCACAATAATTTGACAATTGTGTCTCAGTTGCTCTGGTTTAAACTACAGAACAAGCTGTCGACAGTTAAAAAGGGACTATTTCCTCCATGAAATGATGGAAAGTACTGTTCTCACCAGCTTTCTTGCCTCACCTCTTTGATTGCCCCACGGTGTAATTGAAACAGCCTGGGGAGCTGTAGGAAGGTACAGGAGCTACGCTAGAAATTTCGCCTGCTTTTATTCTTGAAGCTAAACTAAGCTATAAGAATGTTGGCACATTCCTGGAAAGTAAGCCACTTCTCTCAGCTGTGCCTACCTTGTACATGTTTGATATCATCATTACCATTGTGTGTATACTTGCTTTTCTCCATCAGCATTCTGAATCATCTGAATAGTACATATGAGCATTCTGCTGTTATCATCCTGCTGAATATGTTAAAGATGCTCTGTCTCTTTGTGTACATTTAGGCTGTAAGGAGTGCTGTGAGCGATGTGTGGGCAGCCTGCCCTGGGCCTCTCTCATTGCCACTATCCTCCTCTACATGGGCGTGGCCTTGTTCTGTGGGTGTGGCCACGAGGCTTTGAGCGGCACCGTCACCATTCTCCAGAACTACTTTGAAGTCATCAGAGCCCCGGGAGAAACCCTGGATGTGTTCACCATGTGAGTGACTTGTTTTACCTTCATTTTCATTTTCAATATTAAAGGACCGTGGACGGAGATTCAGGGTCTGAAAGCAGGTTAAACCTGCATTCTTTCTAGTGGCCAGCAGGGGGTGACTCCACTGGTTGCAACAACAACAAAAAATTGTATGGATGTCTATGAAAAAAATATTACTTGTCACTTGATTTATTAGCTACTTTACAGTCTCAATCTCTAGTTTCAAGCATTCTTCCATACAGCATGATGTAAATTTAGTAAATTATGGTCCAATTTGACTAAAATGGACAATAAAGCAGGGTATGCTTTTAGGCATGGTTACCTTGTGATTGACAAGACGTTACAATGGTGTCCTGTTCTCAGTCAGATCCAATCAGGAAAGAGGCATAGCAATGCGTGTCCTCCCCAGCTCCATCTTCCAAACTCTGGTCCCAAAAGAACAAACAGATGGCGACAGCCATTATGCCAAACTCTTCGAAACGGTAGTCCACAAATCAATGGGTGATGTCACAAAAGGTTTACACTTGAGTTTAGCTATTACTATGAATAGCAAAATACATCACATTACACTCACGTCACAAGTTTCTCAGTCAGTTTCCTGTCTTGCAAGCATAGATTCAGTGTACTAAGGAAATCAACTTGCTTGAGATAATCCATCACACTGAAGAACTCATCATAGTTAAATCTTCTAATAAATACACTAAATACTGTCAGCTTGGCTACCAAATGGGGATTCTATTCCTCTGGTGTGTTCATCAATGTGTAGAGAGCACTTTGATTTTCTCAGTAGTGACAAAAAAAAGCAACAATAATCCAAAACCAGATTTAGCTGATTTTGTCAGAAAGCAGACATCATGTATGTACACTTTAAACATTACAATTTGATGCACCACTGAGCCAGCTGAATCAGACACTTATTTCTCATATCTTGTCAAATCTTTGCATTAATGAATCTCTTTGACGGTTTAGACCCAAACAACCCATTCTCACTCCCAAGTTGTCCATTTCAGCCGCTTGGTCAGTGTCCTTCTACTTCAAAATATTCAAATTCAGGTGACATAGTATAAAGAGCCATGAAGTATGCATAGGGAGGTAGTGGGGCTGATGGATGGACTTCACCCCAGGAGGCTGCTGTTCATGTCAGATGTGAAACCATAAGTAAAACATTTCTTTATAGTTACATTGAGTATGTTATGTGATTGATGTTTTATGTGTTAACTTATAATCCTTTCCTAAATGTAACCATTATAATAACAACATTAACTGCTCTCTCAGCTTTATTTCTATATAGAAATTGCATATTTATTGTTGCTTACTTGACCACTATGTTGAATCATACCCCCTGTATCGTGATATGTATCGTATTGCCAGATTCTTGCTAATACACAGCCATACTTGTGAGTGAGAATGTCTCTACCCAAAATACTTACGCCTATTTCTATGCCTATTTCTGAAAAATAAAGACTAAAATAGGTATCATGATTAAAATAAAAACTGTTCAAACTGACCCAATTTAGATATATATGGAAGCCTATTTGCCACCATACATTTTTTCTTTTTTAGTCTTTTTAGTCGAACTACTATATGTCATAATCATGAGAAAGCTAATCATTTTTAGATATATAGTTATGTGTTTTTTTCCAAATGTCAGAAATCTCCCAATCCAAAGACGTGTGATGAGTTTTCAGTCCCTCATGGAAATAAATTTGACAGGAATTGGACAAATGTTAAAATGAGTAATCTGAACATAATTACACAGGGTGAACTCCAAGTAACACCTCAAGATGCAGTTTAGTATGTAAATAAACAAATACTCATTAATCACTGACACTGTGGTTGTGTGTGTTCTCTCCACAGTATCGACATCCTGAAGTACATCATCTACGGCCTTGCAGCTGGATTCTTTGTGTTTGGAGTGCTGCTGCTGGTGGAGGGCTTTTTCACCACTGGAGCCATTAGGGATCTCTATGGAGAGTTTAAGATCACTGCCTGCGGACGCTGCCTGACTGCATTCGTAAGATATCTTTGTATTTAATGTCATATACTGACATTTTAAATTGTATAGTCACACTTTCAGATATATGAGTACTTGAAGCTAGATGTTTTTAGGTAGTTGGCAATAACTTATTATGGTGTCAAAGGACGGTAGTATTATATTTTATAATATTTTTCTTCTTGTCAACAAATTCCATGGAAAGACCAAAAACCAACAATGGCTTGATCCTACAAACAAATATCATCTTATTCCTCTGTGTCATAGAGCTCTGTTGTTGTCTAAACACTATTAAAAAGACTCTCCAGAGCACCAAATGTGGGTTATTCCACAGCTGAAAATAGTCCCCGACAAATGCACTATTTTCTTCAGTTTTAGTAACATTTGCTAAAAACTACAGTGACAGCTCTTATAGGAAATGACTTTCTTTTGTAAAACAAAAACAAACATAAACACATATTTGTGCACCGTTTTTAAAGATTTACATTTACAGTAGGAACTAACAGGCTTGTCGCTCAGATCCACAGAGAGGGTTGGGACATTAGAAGGTATTAGAAGTGATACACATTGCTGGTTTTGGTATTTCCACAGTAAAAATCTACTGAGCAACATTATATCCTGATGAAGTGATACCTTTGCGTTGTCATTCATAAAAACACATTATAATTAAGATGGCCTCATAATACGACTTAAAAATATTGAAAAATATTTTAAACGTGAAATGTAATTTTTTTTACAGATGTAGTCGAAAAAATGCACAATGTGAGCAAAATGAACAGATGTTGCTAATGTATGACCAACGCTCCATCAGAGTGGCTACAAGTGAATAAACACTTCTTTTATTCACTCAACAATCTGTGACATATTAACAGTAGTAGTAGTGTACAGTGGAGCTGGTTAGGTTTTAATGTCTATCTTTGCACATATTGTATTGTATGGTATTGTACTTCTTGTTGTTCCAGCTTCGATAAAATGTAATAAAGAGTAAAAAAATACTCTATTCCTGTTTTTGCTGGGGACCCCACTCAAAGACCCCAGTTTGAAAACCACTGCTATATACTGTACATTATATTATACGGTGATTATGTTAGACAGCTCCGCCAGCTGAAGCAGAGCGAACATGGACAGAGAGTGTTTCTGAGAAGTAGATACATTTTGGAACAAAGACTGGCCATACTCAATATATCAGCCTGACAGACCTCTCAGCAGTTATTCCCTGAAATATTTTATTTTTGTCTCACTGTGAAACCCAGTCTCCATGTGGCAAATGTCTCTTAGGTCTGATTCATGTGGAGGGAGACAGAGAGAGAGATTAGGCATTGTCCACATCTGCTGAGGACATTTTCCCCCTCACATCTGTAGCTCTGTCTGTGCAAAGCTGAAAGGCAAAAGATAGAGGAGCAAAGAAAGGGTAGTCAGTTGTATAGAAGGTGTTTTTATGCCTCAGTGTGAAATGATAGAGAGAATTGACACAATTAGCATCACACTCAATGCATCACAGATGGCATAAACTTAATTTATAAGATGCAGGTGTTAATGTGAGCAAAGAAATGTTGTAATTTTTGCATAATGTGTATAAATAAATGAGTGAATGTCATTTAGCCACACCTGTTTGTCTTCAGTCTGGAACACCTAAGTGTTTTTAAGGAGGTTAAATAACTCGTCATCCTCTCTGCCACTCGCTGTGTCTTGTCTCCCTGTTTGCAGCTGATGTTCCTCGCCTACCTGTTCTTCCTGGTGTGGCTCGGAGTGACGGCATTCACCAGCCTGCCGGTCTTCATGTACTTCAACGTTTGGTCCATGTGTAAGAACATCAGCTTGGTGGAGGGAGCCAACCTCTGCCTGGACCTGCGTCAGTTTGGTATGTGCCGTCATAATGTCTCTGCGTGTGTCCTATCTGAGTTTACCATCTCTGCAATATGTTGTGTAATGGTCTTAAAGTTATATCAGCTGATGGTCTTTACCTGCAGTATGTTTGGCGTAAGAAAAACAATTCTGACAAAAGGGGCACAGAATCTCATATCAGGATTCCCAAATGTTCTGGAAAACCTGGAAATTTAGAGTCTTGTTTTCCAGTCATGGAAACACCTGGAAATTGATTAAGATAACCAAATATCCTGGAAATAATTTATGTTGTCCTGGGGCGAGTCGTTCCTTAATCGGAAGGTTGTGGGTTCGATCGCCGGCTCTTGGTGGTGGTGCCACATGTCAAAGTATCCTTGAGCAAGATACTGAACCCCAAGTTGGTCCCGATGCCGTGCATCGGTGTGTGAATGTGTATGAATGTGTTAGTTTCTGTTTGATGGACTTTGCCATCACTGAGTGAATGTGTGTGAAAGGGTGAATGTGGCACGTAGTGTAAAAGCGCTTTGAGTGGTGGGACTAGAAAGGCGTTATACAAGTACAGGTCCATTTACCATTTACAGTCTGTCCGTGCATCTTGTGCTCTTGAAATAGCGGCAGTGAAGAAATAAAAGGTCCTCTTAATCCTGAAGTTTTCCCGCACTGTCCGTATAACACACACTGTGCGTATCCTCCCCCTGCTTAGTGCAAGCAAGTTGATGGAGACTCACCAAAATGCCAAACTGGCACACACGATGGAAAAAACCTGTGTGTGCGCGGCAAAATTGCCAGATTACCAGTAGAAAGCCCACAGTGAGCCATGTGCCACAATGAACCCAGAATCTCTCACCTGCTCACAAAGGCTAATTCAGCTGAGCTAACCTAGACGTTATTAGTGGTTAAATGACAGAAAATGCAATCTGTGTTTGTAGTATATGTTATTAGTGTTGGGATTACACAGGTGGGCCTGTAAGTTTAAGGTTAGATATGAGTACTAGGAAAATGTGGATGTGAAAGCGATTGAACATCTGTTCCCTTTTATCAGAAGTCACTATTCAGGCACACCAAGGGTCTGATGGTTCGATGTTTAGCTGTGGATACATTTTGGGGAATTTCTGCAAATGGACTGAGTTTATAGGCTTCTAAGTCAGGAGAGTTGTCAGGTCAAGGGAGTCATTAAAGCATGCTTCCTGCAATTAATAACTCTCCAAATTAAAATCCTTTCTGTCCTTTGGTGATATAGTGAAGGCCATAGACGCATTTGTTTTTTCCAGACTAGAATACTGCAACTCCTTGTATTGCTGTCAGAAGCAACTATACGGATACAGTTGGTTCAGAATTTGGCTGCTGGGCTTCTAACGATCATTAAAGGTCTAGTGTGTAGGATTTAGGGGAATCTACTGGTGAAGTTACAGATTGCAACCAACTGAACACCACTCGCATCTGTATTTGACGACTTGTGAATGAGAATGTGCTGATAAGTGTGTAGGAGAAACTACGGTGGCCATGAAACTCGCAGGGCCTTTCAAACGCGAAAGGCCCAATCTAGAGCCAGTACTGGGTAAACTGTAGAAACAAGGTGGTTCAGCATGGTGGACTCCATGCAAGGCGAACTGCAGCCTCTGTAGAAGGTCCGTTCAATATACATTTATGTGCATACCCGTAATGAAGCACATGTACACATACACACATACTGAATGTATACATGCGTGTAGTTATATTCTGTATTTCTATTTGTGTGTTTATGCATGTATATATTTATGTGTCTTACTGTATATACATATTAACTTTATCACCCTTTTTCTGTTTGTACTACTTCACTGCCATTATTATTAGTATATTGTTCAAAACTGATTCACTTTTAATATCTTTTTCATTGTTTATTATTAACTTTTATTGTCTTGTGAAGCATTTTGTGACATATGTTTTGTACTATATAACATTATTATTATTAGTATTAGTATTAGTGTTAGTATTAGTATTATATAGCCCTGGACCCTTATATAGAGCTTTTCTAGTCTACCGACCACTGAAAGCACTTTTCAACAATCACCCCCTAATCCATGTCACCCCATTCACAAAAATTAAAGTTGGAGTAACTGCCATTTATCTGCAGTACACAGAGCTATTATGAACAGAAAGGGTTTTTAAAAAGTCCAAAAATGTACAACAGAGGACTCACTGCTATTGAGAAATAACAAATATAACCAAATAAATAAGCCACATTAATTTCTAAATGTAGAATATAATGTTTAATTTTCACAACGCCTACACAAAAGTGAATGATTCACTTTTGCCATGTGGGACCTTATAGAAAACATACTACGTCTCAACCAGATATTCTAATGGTTATGTATTATTTCACATGATGCGGTCACAGCTCTTGCCACCATGTTGTTCTCCAGGATGCCCACATAAAAGCAAAAGACACACGCCGAGAGAGTCTCTTGCAGTGCTGCCATCTACTGGCCGGACAGCCTCCTGTCAGCAAACTAATTACTGTATCTAATAAACATTCGGCATGGGGAATCATTACTCTGTTCATAAAGTTTTGGATTCAGTGACAATTTCACACTGTGGTCATACTGGCAGTTCCCAGTGGCCAACAGTGCAAGACCAGTGAGGCTTTAATATCTGTCAGTTTCAATAGAGTACATCCAGAGATTCTTTCAGTCATATCCAGAGGTTCTTCGCTGTATTCAGCAGCAAAGTATGGATGGGTAAAGAGAATAAAGAGTCTGTTTTTGATGTTTCTGCTTATCAGGAGCCGTTACAATCTCTGAGGAGAGGAAGGTGTGTACAGGATCTGAGAAGTTCTTCAAGATGTGTGAATCCAATGAGGTAAGAGGAGACAGAATTTGTAGTCAAATACAATGATTTGTGACCTGCATCGAGACAGCTGAAAAATCCACAAAAAATGACTCCTGTGTTGTGTATTACAGCTGGACTTGACCTTCCATCTGTTCGTGTGCGCACTGGCAGGAGCAGGAGCTGCTGTCATCGCCATGGTGAGGACCGTTATACTGATTGGCTACGGGCCTGCAGTACTAATTGGTACTGATTGGTGTGACCTCAAAACCGTGGTTCACTGGGGTTTGTTTTTTTAAACAAAATGTTCCTTCTTTTTCTTTATAAGTGTAAATGATAGAAATAGGCCTCATTTTCAAACCCACATAGAGGGAGACAGAGAGACGCAGAGAGGAGTGAATCTACTCTTGTGTGTCTGCAGTAATACAGACGGTGAGTCACTGAGCTGTTGCGAGGTGCGGGGGGGATCAATTCTGTCAGATACCCTCTGCACACTCTATGCCTTCAGCAGGTATTTACTAACCCGGGCCCATAGTGTTCCTTAATGCTGTCTCTCTCTCCTGTCCACCACCAGTGTAAAAAGCAGAGCGTTTCACACACAAGCATCTATTTTCTGTAGCTGTTTATCCCGCTCAGAGTCATAGGGGGTTGGAATGGATCCCAGAAACACTCTCCATCTCCCCCACCGTTTTCTTTCAGACACACAAATTGAAACGTATGTATGTGAAACGCTAAAGAACCTCAGCAGAATGAGGGACGTCAAATTTGACAACATGTACTGAAAGTAATGAATTAGATGTATTTCTGCTTTATGGCAGCTAGTGTGGTAGGTTTTTCTCCAGCTAGGGAGATGTCAAAGCTTAACATATAGAGTATATGACAAAGAATCCCCACCAATGTGTATTCTTAAGCCTGTTTGTATGCCAATCAGTTTTTATGACTTAACCCTCTTCAGTGAGAAGCAGTAGAGTATGGTGTAGTGTTGTTTTTGGCAGCCTGTTTTAATTTTAGTTTTAGTCTAGTCTTTGTGTCAAACTGTCATTTTAGTTTTTATTAGTTTTAGTCACATTTATACTCTTTTTAGTCTAGTCAAGTTTCAGTTGACTAAAAGTCTGAGCATTTTAGTCTTTTTTTTGTCAGAATTATCCTTGACTATTTTCGTCTAGTTTTAGTCGACAAAAACTGATGACATTTTAGTCTCTTTTTAGTAATGCAATTCTATTTAACCCAGTTAATATAGTACAAGTACCTAGTATAGTATAGACAAAACCAAGATTTTCTTTAAGTCACCCATTTCTCAAGTCAAACAAGGTTATCTTATTATTATATTATTGTTACCTTATAGACTCAAGAATACATTCAATTCCAGACACGGAAGATGCTCTGATTTGAATTTACAACATATTTATTTTACCTACCAAACATGTACTAAGAAGTGCACAAACATAAATTTAAATAAAATAAATAAATAAAATAGCTTCAAATGACAATGCCAGAAAAAAATTACATTACATTCAATTTTAACTTAAAGAGAATCAAGGTGCTTGATTGCTCGAGCTACAATGACATAATAAAAAAGTGCAAATAAAATGTGTGTGTCTGTGACTTATGTTAACCCACCGCAGCTGCGTCTTCTAAATAATGCCGTGAGTGGGGATTGAGGAGTGACGTAGCCTACGTCTGCGCAGTGCGCTGATGCAGCCCCGAGACTCAGGAAACAGAAATATTGCAAAATAATAATAATAGCGAGACGAAATAACGTTATAACATTTCGCCTCGTCTCGTTTTGGTCAATGAAAATGAAGAGATATTTTAACTGAGTTTTTATTTTGCAAACCACATTTAGTCCAGTTTTTATTTGTCAACAACATTGCATTATATATTTGATTATAGTTTCAGTCACATGACCACCATTTACGTTGCGTCTCGTCTCATTTCCGTCATGTGATAACGGTTTGTTGACGTCATAATTTTCGTTGACAAAAGCAGCACTAGTATGGTGACCATGCAAAAGGGTGGATTTGTGGAAGAGAATCAGAGTACTACTGGTTTCAGTTTGTTCAATTACCGTAAAACTTCTAATAATAGCCCGGGGGCGTTTATTTGCTTAAATCACTGAACTCCCCCTGCCTTTATTGGGGACAGGCCTCTATTTGGGACAGGCCTTAATTCCTTTAGCACAAAACTAAACTAAACTAACTGCTGCTTCTCTTGAGTTTTGTTCAGCAAATTTGACAACTAACATGATTATTATGATCGCTTCAGAGGTTTTTTTCCATCTCTCTTGTTTACCATGTTACCGGTAATTCAGAATGAATTAACGCTATACTTTGGTGTTGATAGTTTTCGTAAAATATAGTGAAAGATTGAATTGTGGAGAATCTAATTGATCTGCACGATGTGCATTATGTACATATTGACAGGAGTTTAAACATTTATATTTCTATAGGAGATCAAAACAACTTAAAACTTGCTCAAGCAGGCGACCTGGTGGGTTTTAAGAGGTTTTATACATCAAGATAGTTTCTACAAAATCCAGACCATGCCTCTATTGGAGACCTACGTTTATTTGTCAAAATGTGTAGCCACACCAGGCTTTTACAAGAGACCTGCATCTATTAGGGACCCTGCTTTTGTTGGAAGTTTTACGGTACTAATGTTACACGATACAAAAAAGTCTCAAGGTGAAAAAAGTCTCAAAGGAAAATAAAAGTAACAAAAGGTTTGGAGAAGCATGGTCTAATTCCAAAATTGTTCTGAAATACCTTAGGATTAATAAAAGTGCTGTCCTGTATTTGGTCACCAGGGGGCACTATAGTTCAACAAGCCAAAGAGTGACTATATACTGTACACAGTGCTGTGCTGTTGTTTGACAGATATTTTGATATGATTCACAGTTAGTGATCGTTTCTGCATCAATTCTTACTGAATTATTTTTTCTGATGATGTGACATTTGTTTGGTCTGTAGTATTAAAGAAACATGTTTTCTTACATTTAGAGTACAATATTAAGTAGGCAAGGGCATCTCAGCAGCACAACAGTACTTCAGTATAATTCTGTTTTTTTTCACCTTCATCAAAAAATTGCAGCTTATGCAATTTGCATATTGCACTTTTGATAATATTTCAATTAATTGTACAGCCCTATACTAATTCTATTCTGGTTTTGAGTATGACACATGTTTACACTAAATAAGTGACAACTATTTAAATTTAAATCATATTTAAAGGCTATGTGTACGCAACTAGATGTTGCACCAGAGCACCAAGTTCTCCGACCAAAACAATGGGTGCCACAGTCGACCAGACGACATAGAAAAAAAAACCTGTTAGCAAACTGTTACTTGTTTACACTTCTTGCAAATGCTGAGTAACATTAGCATTAATTTGGAGTCGCTTTTTTTTCTATTCCCTCTTTTATCTCTTCTCTCTTTATGCTCTGTCTTTGGTCTCCATCAACTCCTGACGAAAATGTTTGGCTCTTTTGCTGCTAGATGCTCCTCTGTGTTCACCAGCTCTCTGACTGTGTCTGTCTGCTGTATGGTGCTGGTTTGATTGCTTTCATGCTGAAAACCCCTGCCAAAACGACACTATGAGAGCGATGAACTAAAACACTAAAGTGACAGTCCTAAAAAACAAACACTGTGCTGGAATATGCTCTAAAGCTGCGTAGAGCTGACAGGAACGTTTACATATGCTTCAAAGTACAGCGATTGATTTAATTACAGAAATTTTTTTTTCAAAACGTACTTACTGAAAACCATTGAATTAGGGTCTGACAGTAAATATTACTACTCGCACCTGATTCAACACCTTGTCTATACATCTAGTATGTATTGCTTTAGTACACTTCATCTAAGCATTACCTGTCTCTCATTCAAGTACCATGTTGACTAAAGGTTTCAGTATACTTAAAACAAACCAACCATTAACCTATTGTTACATCAGCCATTGGTTTGAAGCGTCAAGTTTGTCACTATGACCTACACCATGACATTTTTTTGCAACCAGCAGCGGTGACGTACTACAGTAACAGAATCTTGATCCATATCTGATCAGCACTGCCTAGTTTGACAGTTTGATCTGAGTTTTATGCGTTGAGCTGGACGGACTCACTGAGAATGACCTGTCAATCAAAAGGTAGCCCTAAAGCATACCCTCCTTTATGGTCTGTTTTAGTTTAAATGGGACCATAATATACTAAATAAACAATAAATCAATTGAGATACACATATACAAACAAACTTTTTTCGCAACCAGTGGAATCACCCCATTAGAAAGAATGCAGGTTTAGAAAACTGTTAACTGAGCTTATAAATCAAGTGCGAAGTATCGAAACTTCTCCAATAGGCTCAATAGTCTCAGACTTCTTTTTTGCAGCTCATGGAGATGCCCCCTGCTGGCCATTTGAAAGAATGCAGGTCTAAGACACTTCACAGACCTGGAAGCCCGGTCCATTATATATACTGTCAGTGAAACGAACTAATGGTTGTTTTATGCAGTGCTCCAGATATTAACCCCAACTGTTCCTCTCCTCCCTCAGGTCCACTTTCTGATGGCCCTAGCTGCTAACTGGGGCTACCTGAAGGATGCCAGCCGAATGCAGAAGTACGAGGACATCAAGTCGAAGGAGGAGCAGGAGCTGCATGACATCCACTCTACACGCTCCAAAGAACGCCTCAATGCCTACACATAAACACACACCTATGAGAAACGACACATACACACTTAACCTGTAAGACACACACAAGATGATACATGCACACAAACGCACTCACACACACACACACACACACACACACACACACACACACACACACACACACACACACAGGGCCTGAGACAACCCTGAGGATAGTAGAAACATACAGTATACATATACATGAGTAAAAAAACAACATACATTCAAAGACGAGTAGGCAGAAATGAATAACAATAAAATGATTAAAACACAGACACCACCATCATTCTCGTGTCCGCAGCAGATCACTGGCTCAGGTGCTCTGTGCTAACACTTTAGCATCCACTATGTTGGTTTGCTCCATACATACTTTTATTAACCCAGACATTTGCTTTTGAGTGAAAGGAAACCTTTAGCTTTAGCCTCACCAGAAGATGTGGTTAAATACATGAAATAGTTCCAAAAGAAGACATTTGGCTATATAAACTTTAGTAATATAAACATGTAAATGTTCTAGGGCCGGCCTCAGCCTTTTCGAGGCCTTAAGCGCTCCATCCACTTCAACCCCCCTGTTCCCCGGAGTGTGACTGTGCAGAACAATCAACTACAACTGACCTAAAATCACAGAAAGAAACGTTAGAACATAAAAGTTACAAAAAAATTTGTGAAACAAAAAAAAAAAAACGAACAAGATAACACTTTAAGAAATACCAAAAAACAAATAATGAACATAAGAACCCAAAGAAATGTCTTTGCATGTTTGTGGCCCCATCTGATTACTCTGTTTTTCCAGTTTTATCCTTTAAAATAGCAAATATTTATTTTGTGATTTACTTTTGCCATTACACGTCATGCTAATCTGCTGTATGGATATCATCACGGCTAACTACTACGAGCTGTTAGCACTGCACACTGAAGCCAACAATCTACAGCAGACACATGAGTGAGTTTGGTGTCTGTGAGCTCATTATTTAATGTGGGGGGGCCGTCCAACAGGACAACGTCACTGTAACCCCCTGTCCAAAAAGCCTCAATACCTGCAGCACACACTCAGACACTCACTCACACACACACACACACACACACACACACACACACACACACACACACATACACACACATAGATGTGGCTGAATGGTCGGTGTTGTGCAGGCAGTGTTGTATGGTGGTGTCATGCTGTGTCGTGTCGTTTCGCCACATTATGATGACTGGTATTGCAGAGAAATATGGTCCCCGAGGAAATTTGTACCTCCCGGGTGCAAATGGGTAGCTTTGCTAACTTTCCCCTCCCCTCTCCTCCCCTCTCTTTCCCTCTCCTTTTTCCACCAGCCCTGCCCCTCCTCTTTCTCTACTCTGTGACCTCTTCATCTCAAGCCCAGTTTCATTAGTTGTTCCACGTATTCTTGTTACAAATATCGACCGGTGTGTCCCACAAGTGGCCATTTGCAGGGCGGGGTGGGGGGGTGGGTTGAAATTAAATGCAGGCCTAATAGTTTATTGTTATAATAATAATAATGAAAGCATATATATTGATTGATAAAATATGCAGATAAATTGAAGTCATAAATTCTTCTTTTCCAAATTGCCCTAACGTTATTTTTAATGTATATCACATGACGGGCTCTCTTGAACTTTCAGATTAAAAGCACTTAAAATGGCGGTGGGGATTTCAAAGAGGCCATTTAAAACAACTTGTGAAACAGGGCTTTGTGTCCCTCCCTTTCCATCCCCAGATTGTATAAACTTGTGATTTGTCCTCAGAAACAGCACATCTTAGCAGCACAAAGTCTTTTTAACGTGTGTCATGTTCTCATCAGTCTGACAAATAATGTTTTTTCTCACTTTTTGGAATTTTTGACACATTTTTATCAGTATTATTTATGTGTAATTTTAGCATTGGGGGTTATTTAAATGGGGAAGGCGTGTGTGTGGGGGGGGAGGGGGAGGGGGTTGTATCACTTTCACATTCTAATGTAATGATTATGTATTACAGTGGTTCTGCACACACACAAACACACACAAACACACATACACATGCGTATACACCAATCATCTCGAGAGCATTGGTTCTCGCGTCGTCATTGTTTTGTTTTTTTCTTTCAGCGAGCCCTAATGTGACCAAAACTACCATTTAAATTGCTAATAGTCAGCTCGCCATTGGCGACATGAACAGATGGTTACTGTGAATTCTGGGCGGCCTCACTGAGGGTTGTAGGTTATTTTTGGCCTAAGCAGGATGTGCTTCAAGATGGAAGATCCGTTCCCCTGAAAGCATTTTGAGGTGTGGATATTTGTAACATCTCAGGAGGAGTTTCGGTTGTGCGGCGCTTGAAACGGATGGGTGAGATGGGAATTTAAACCGGTCTGGATGTGCTGAAGGAAGCAGGAGAGAACGCACCATTAGTGGCTGCAGGGATTGATCGGAGGAGTATTATTGGGAGAGAAGACCATAATGAATGATGTCCCAGCTAATAAGCTCATTGTTTAGGAATGATTTGCTTTACTGGATAGGTTTGTGGTTTTAAAGGATGTTCCCAGCTTATATTTGGTGTCTTTATTATCTCCTCAGGTGCTTCAATATTAGGATGCAACTTTCTTGTAGTTTAAAAAAAGATGAGAAAGGTTCTACCTGTTGCTATGTTTTTTTAAGAGGCCGATTAGACTAGTTAAAATGTGAAAAATCAGAGTGGTAACAACTTCAAACCTGACTTTATTTTGCTATAATCTAATGCAGTGTATACAGCACTTGTGTGCAGGGCTTTTCTGTTTGTATTCTATGTTCTGTTGGGCCAGCCATTAGAATAAGAGGATTGTATGTCACGTCCTGGTTGTAGCTGTGAAGGAATGCGATGATTCTCTATCTGCCAGTAGAGATGACCGAGAGAGGATTCAGTTCCTCCTGACAGTGAAGATGGTGGCGAGGATGGTGGTGATGAAGGGTTCGATTTGATGAGACTACCAGCACACACACACGCACACACACACACACACACACACACGCGCACACACACTCCACCACCGCCATCACTCTGAGCCATAACTCTTTGCTCTTTTACTTTTCACCAATAACATTTCACTATTTTATTATCAACTTTAAATCTTTGAAACTTTTTAAATGTGAAATCATTTAATTAGAAAAAAAGGAAATGTGTTTCTTTTTCTTTTATTTTCTCGTGTGGGCAGTATTAAGCACTGTTCCTGCATTAACTCTGTATAAAGATATACATATATGTGAAACAGTTGAGGTGAGCAGCCGGGAGAATGATTTCCTATTGGTTACAGAGTCTGGAGGAGGTGGTTCAGTCCCAATGTCCTGAGCTTTTACTCCCTAAGAGAGCTGCATTAACACACACATGAAAGATATGATGTCTTTGTATCAAACTGCTTATCCAAAATTTAAAAAAAAACAATTATGTGCCACAAATTTTGCTTGTCTGCGAGATGATTTTCACATGGTACTGTAGTGGATATACTGGCTGGTTTAAAGGCAGTATAAACAAGTCTAAAACTAATTGTGTACTGTGGAAAAGGTTTGGCAGTCCACAAGAGGTTAATTGCAGTAAAAGTGGTAAAACAAAAACACCTATATAGTAAAGAGGCAATGGTCACAAATTAACAACCATGAGCGAATCAGAGCAGTGTCAAACAACATATGTTAAAGCTGCAGTAGGTAACTTTTATAAAAAGGATTTTCTGTCATATTTGCTGAAACGTTCTCTATATCCTGACAGTAGTACATGAGACAGATAATTTGTGAAAAAATCAGGTTCCTCTGACTCCTCCTAGTGCTCCTAATGGCATTTGCAAGAAACCACCGGGCCTGAACGAAAACAACCAATCAGAGCCGAGAAAGATTGAGTTGATTGTTGAGTCTCATTCTGTCTTAAGTGGCCAACTAAAATCGTTTGTATTTGACGGCCTGGCAATGAGCCTCCACAATCAACTTTCTTTCTCGTACAAATGCCGTACACACAGGAGTCAGAGGAACCTGTTTTTTTCACAGATGATCTGTCTCAAGTTCTACTGTCAGGATATAGTTAAAGTTTCAGCAAATATGAAAAAAAGTTATTTTTATAGAATTGACCTACTGCAGCTTTAAGCAGAGCAGAGACCAGAATTAATTCCAAACTGACTGAGACAGCCAGTCGGCAAAACATGGAGTGTCCATACAGGCACTAACGTTGTGCTTGTTTGGGGATTTCAAGCCAACAATTTCTTCCAGGAGTTTGAATCTGGTTTTGTGTGTCATGTAAATGCAGCTGAATTTGACCAAAAAAAATTAAAAACCTTCCATCAGTGTCGATGACGGGAGACTCCACCGGACTCGTGTCCTGTTCAGGTGTGTCTCGGCTGCATACAGTCAGTATTTTTAAGGGTCTAGTTTTACAGTAACAGTATTTTATCATTTCATTGCCTGACAATGGATGTCTTGTCAGTGTTTTTAACCTCAGATAAAAGAAAAAAATAGTTTTTTGTGCACTTATTGACCATTGTGAGCTCTCTCTCTTATTCTTGGTGTGTAAGTGCATTGAGATCCCGATTGTGGGACCTGTGTATAGTCTTGCAGCATTGGTTATAACCTGAAGAAATAACAATGATGAAAACGAATGAATTCATAATAATGAAGATAATCTTATACTAGGTTAAAAAAAAAAAGAAAAAAAAGACAGTGAATCTAGTTGTTGTTTGTGGCATGGTTATGCATTCAATGGTCATAATTTTAATGATTAAAACAATACAAAAAAAGTAATTCTTTTCCACTGGCGCTGTTCTGCTGTTTTTGTTTTGTTTTCAACTTCTCAGTGTGCAGTATTGCGGTTCCTGTTGCTAATGGTGTTGCTAAGCTAGCTTGCTTGCTCAGTTGTTTACCACCAGAGCAATATATTGTAGCAGTTTGACGAAATCAAGACATAAACAAGAAATCCATACCCGTAAGTTTCTGGCATACAAGTGCATGAATCTATGATTGCAAGTCTTAAGTGATATGATCATGGTGTTCTTTATTGTTTATCCTAATAAAGCGGATTTGCAGATGTGGTGTAATGTATTGCTCTGGCCACCCATTATCCTGCACCCACCTCCGCTCACATCCTCCTCCTCCTCCTCCTCCTCCTCCTCCTCATTTGGGGCCATTTAGGCTGCAGTCGCACCACAGCTCAGGATGTCCAATTCATATTTGAATTCAAAAGTGACTCATGTCTGATTTCCTGTGTGCTAGAAACAATCTGCATGTGTACAGGAGAGTCACTGTTGCATAAGTAAAGCTCTGTGTAACCAAGCAACAAGCACAGTCTGCCCAGCTCACACTGCCAAATCACCATCTGTAATGGATGCTAACAAGGCAAACTAATACTTCAGGCTACTTCCAAGGCATATTTAGAGCTGCCCAATCACATTTGAAGGTGAAGAAGAATGCCTGTGGGCCGCAGTGACTGAATACTGGGAGATCCACATGTGGATACAGTCCAAAATATGTAGTTTTTCACTTGAGCAAAAATGTAAAATTGGGTCATCTGTGCCAGGTGGTGTAAATGTAGCTTAAATGAAACCAAAGCAACTAAAATCTGATATTTACTGCTTCGACAGCCGTGAGAAGATCCGGCTGCTGCTGCAGTCAGGAGGAGGATGAGAGCGGCTGCTCTCCATTTGATTAAGTCTCCTCATTTACTCTCAAACCCACGTCTCCTTGTAAAGATGAATATGTGTATTGCCACGTGCTAATCCTGCGTTCTTCTTGTCTACCCACTGACCACAGCTGAACATGGACTCACTTTACCATTCCACGATCCGCACGCATTCGTGACAGGATTCCGAAAACTGGCCGTGTCAGTGTTAATAAAGCATGAATTTCAATGACATGAAATCTGATTTCTGACCCTCTGTGAGAAAGATTTGATCTGTTTTTGACTGTTTTTGCAGCTATAAAACCTCAGTTCTGTACCACAGGATGAAAAATCAGATCCTCTGTGCCTGAACAAATTCAGCTCTTGTCCATCATGAACTGAACCCCAGATCTAAAAGCTGATGTCAGTCTGTGACCTCCAACTGATCATCACATGTTTCAGATCCATGCATTATGTCAGGTTGGACATTTTGGACGTTGGGAGTAGTTATTTTTTTCTGTTTCTCCATCAGTATTCTAGACTTTTTGTACTTCACTCTGGTTGCTTAGTAGCAGGCTTTATCTGATTCACTCCTCCATTTTTGTACATATCTGTGCCAACAGCTTGGGCAGACAGTGGCTTTTTTATTTGTAAAGACATAAACTTGCTTGCATATATAAATAAAATGAAATAATACACTTGTGTACTTGTTAATAAGGGAATATTTTGAGTTTGCGTCTTCATTTCACATGATATATAACCTTTGCAGTTGCCTAAAAGGCTTTGTAGATAATAGACCTTTTTCACAGCGGCCATTTTGACATGAAATAGTAGGGTAAACAGGGTTTTAGCGATAATACTAATTAAGATTCTGTTCCATTTGGTGTACAGAGCCTTTTTAGTGAGCCAACATGCAAAATAGCAGCACCCTGACTCTGTTTGACCTGAATGGAAATGAACCTTAATCTGTACCATTGGTAACACCTGTGCTTACCCTACTTGTGCTTACCATGTCAAAATGGCTGCTGTGAAAAAGGTATTTTGTAACATTTATGGAATTCTATTGATATACCAAAAAGTATAGTGCTCCAGGTCTTAAGATTGGGTTTTCAACTACGTTCAAAATCCAAAATATCTACTACAACATGAAAGCACAGAGCAGTATGAGTTTTAATTTTGACTATTGAATAACATATCAGTTACTTGATACTTTGGTGCTCATGGTTCTGCTAAATGAACTGAAGGATGGAACTGTGAAGAATTTAACTAACAATGTCTAGCATGTCAATATTGACAAAAGTTCATACATAATGTGTAGGAAATCAAAGCAGATTAGAACTTGCTTAAGCACCTAAGATGTTTTGTACTTCCAGATAAAATCCAGACCAGGCATCTAATTGAGACCTGTGTTTATTGGTCAGAATACCCTGCTATTAAGTTTTATGGTGCATAAATCCCAAAGGATATGGTCTTTCTGTGTGTGTAGAGATAAATGTTAGACATTTAATTACAGTTACAAAGTTGTATTGTAGCTCGATCTTACCAACAGAGCAGAACTGTCAATTTCACTTCAATACAGGAGCAACAGTAGGAACCTGAACAATGTCCACCGTGGTATGAAATGCTGCTCTGATGCCACATTCTGAGGGTAAAGTCTCAAAATCTCCAGCATTCAGAACTTTTACAGTGTTTGCAGAATATTCTGTAGTTCTGCACTAAAATAGGCAGAATTCATCCAAATGTACAGCCTCATCTGGTGGGGAATTTAAAACAATACATTTTCAATAATTTAGATTATTGTGAGTGTAGTCATGATCTTCATTGATAGATTATGTACATGACTAGACCAAAATCTATGGAACCCTACAGTAAATTTTGGGGAAATTTTTTTTACAGGGCAGATCTTAATGGCGTGGCAGAAATATAATGCTGATTTAACGCAATCACATATATCAGTGTTTCCCAACCAACCAGCCAGAGTTTCACAGTGTGTCGCAAGGCCTTCTTGAGGGTGTAAGAAAACTGTAAAAAAAAAAAAAAAATGCATTTACAGTAGGTTTGTAAATGGTTTGTGTGTAAAAAAAGCAGCTTATTAAGTATGTATTATTGTTGAAAATGTTAGAAGTACATGAAAAAACATATAAAACTATCAGCTGTTCCCTATTGTTTTTGTTGAATATAATATGAAAAACCCATAAAATATGTCACTTAGTCAGGGGTCGTCGGTTTACTCAGTGATAGAAACTGGGTCCCTTAAGGAAAGAGGTTGGGAACAACTGACCTATATCAATATTTGCTTGGAAAAGCCCCCAAATGAAGATATTTGAACAGGAAAACATTTAATTATTGTGGAATATTAGTAAAGCAGTGAATAGAAGAATCTAAAGGTGGCATTAGAGATCAATAAATTGTTTTATTTCCAAATCTTGACACATTTTTCCCCCAAAAAAATGTTTCATTAAACTTAAGCCTATCGCTTAGTCTAAAATGTGCACATAACAGATCATTAAATTATTTATTTTAATTTCTGTTTTTTAACATTTTATTTTAAAATAAATCTAAATACATTTGTTACATGTATTACATTGTCACCACAGCGTAATGATATACATTCACTAACTTAAGGAGACTGGTTTGACTTGGCACAATACCTCTGTTACAATCTGGCACTGGTAGTTGATATAAAATACTAACTTAAAGAACAAAAATCCCCTGTTTTTAGGAGCTCTGTACAGATGCTGCCGAGCTTTGTGAAACAATCAAAGCTGTCATCTTGAAAAGTTACCTCCCCAGTGTTCCTGCCTTCACAGTGCCGCTCCTTGAAGTACATTTTAATGTGCTGTGCTAAAAAGTCCTGGCAACAAATCTGGTTTTCATCTGCTGATGTAATAGCAACACTGAAAACATTTAGCACATATGCCTCGGGCTCAGCGAGCGTGCTGGCCATCAAATAATCACATTTCTTCAGTCTGGCTGCAGATAAACGCCAAAGATGCAGGACTAACAGAACTTTAAAAAATTGTTCAAATAATTAAATTATTATGTGTAAATAGTTAAAATAGTTAAATAACTCTGTGATCTTGTATTTATTGTTTGTTAATTGATTGTTATGTGGTTACTGCTACTGATATCCTAGATCAAATAATCAAGCAGCGTGTATCCACTTAAAAGGAAAATATTCTCATCATACCAGATCCCATAGATGCCAGAGAGAACTGGAAATTAAAGCTCAGTCAATCTATGATATAGACGTATCTCACTTATTTAAGAGGCACTTCACTGGATTTGGAAATGGATTTGCTTCTACAAATTCAGTTTATATTTTAGATGCACACATAAAGATGGAACATTTGCCTTTAAAGCTGCAGTACATAACTTTTATAAAAATAACTTTTTGTCATATTTGCTGAAATGTTCACTATATCCTGACAGTAGTACATGAGACAGATAATCTGTGAAAAAATCGGGTTCCTCTGACTCCTCCTAGTGCTCCTAATGGTATTTGCAAGAATCCACCGGGTCTGAATGAAAACAACCAGTCAGAGTTGATTGTTGAGTCTCATTACCAAAAAGTTATTTTTAGAAAAGTTACCTACTGCAGCATTAACTATATACACAACATGAAAAATATAATTGAATGGAAAAAGTGCATGTTTATTTTGTCTGTTGAAAAATCTGTGAAATTAATTTCTAAAAACTGAGGATTTACCAGTGTTAGCTTAGTTTCATTATTCATGTTTTTTATCAAAAACTTGTAAAAAACAAAAAATGTGTAAGTAAAAGTAAATGTGGTGAAACAGTAGCACAAGTAGAGTCAATAAATTAGTATAATTTCTATAAATCACACACATATCAGACCAAGTAAGGAGAGAGCTGACCAACGGTTCTTTTTTTTCATTTTCAATTCACTGTACAAAGGGGTTGAGTTGTGTGAAATAGTTTTGACCAACACATGAATGAAAAATATACGTTATTTATATACAAAAACATTATGTACAGTGGGTACAGACGAAGGAAAATTCAAATACTGATTTCATCTTCACTATTTACAGCACTATACATAATTCAATAAAAACAATCTAACAGATGAAAAAAAAATGGAGTGAAGCCTGCGAGCTAGTTCAGGCAGTCAACCCGAGCTGCGCTGCTATACACACATGACATGCCTTATTCCATAATCACTAACCAAGCGCTCCCTTCCAATCTGGCGGTCTATTTAAGCGGCACAATTTCACAGCTCTCCCTCTGCTGTGTTGCCTTGCATCACATTGCTGCTGCTCTGTAAACTATTGCTGCCTGCTTGCGCTGTAAGCCCCACCACCCCCCCAGCATCCACCTGTAGGCTCCGACTGGGGGTTAAGGTATTTGCGCATCACTCCCCAATATCTCTTTGTAAACATATCTGCGGGGGAGTGATGAGGTCGGAGCCTAGACGACAGAATCTAAATATGCTATACTGCTTAATAAACATTTCAAACGTGAGTTGTCTGACTGAACTGTAAGTAGTGCATGAATTGGACCTAAAAAGGTGCCAATACCCTATTTCAACATAACTAACATTTCAAAAATATTTTTTAACAAGGACATTTTCAGCACTGTCTTCTCAGCATTAAGCTGGCTGTGTTTACACAGAGACGCAGTTACGCAGGCATTTAGTAGTATCTCACCAGCTCTGCTGTACGGGCATGCATCAAAGCATCAGAGTTAGTTATTTTTAAGGTCCAGACCTTGGTGACCTCAGTTCCGGGTACGGTCATGCTCACCTGAGGTACTGAGTAAGAAATAAGGGTACTCGTATGAGTACTGGCCAATTTCAGGCACTGACTATAAGACAATTTCTTGTAAATATTCTTATCAACAGAACAATATCATAGGTAAACAATTGTCAGATATAAATATATAAAAGTCTGAAACTTACCATTAAGTGCATGGGCCTGATCCTGCCACTTTAGTTGAAATTTGTGGGGGGGGGATTGCTATTATCATAATATTCATGAAATCGTTTTAAAATGGGGCTGTATTTATTTAAGGGGGAAACCCATTTTACACATCAGACTCTGTTTACAAGTGTTATAGTACTACTACATTATGTAAAAAAGTTGTATGATGTGGCCCCAGCGGGAGCTGTGTGAGGTCCTCAGAGTCAGCGTCAGTTGGCGTGGAAGTTTGAAAATAAAATAAATCTGTTGGTGTGGAATTAGAAAGAGGTGAGCATACCAGACCTCTGTAGCTGCTCCTCATCCCTGCTTAATGGTAGGCTACATTGGGTGCCACTAGCATAACACACTCGAATCTAGCTGTAGATGCATTGTGGGTAATGTCGGTACCAGGTTTTACCAAGTAAAAATGTGTGAAATTAAAAAAGATGATTCTGCTGCATCAATTTGAATACTTTTTAAAAACATTATAAGTCCGAAAATTTTACAGAAAAGCAACAAGCACTGTGGTGGCAATTTGTTTAATAAAGCATACAAAGTATGATCTTGTCTTTCTGTAAGGTTTTATTCAAGTCATCCATGAATGGTTTAAACGCAACCATCCCACACTTTCATATGTGAAAGTCAGAAAGAGCCCTGATTCGAAGAAACAGTATAGTTTTATCCCTGATGGAGTGTCACTCCAACACAGTTACACATTCCTGAGTTGTGGGACAGTAAACAGACAGATAGTGTGGTGAGATGATCATGTCCTTGGCTTCTTAGTGAAGTCTCAACATCCCACTGTTAATTGGACATAGAGTGTAGTTAGAAACAGGGCTAAAGGTTATATGGATATAATAGCCTCTTTAATAGTTGCATATGGTTTTACAATGAACAGGTCAAACGGTTGTATAGGTTCTTAAAAAATGCCATTACAGTACTCTTTTAACTAGAAATCTGGCCCTCTGCGATTATTGAGCCGACAATAATATGATTGTTACAAGTTTAACTTTGTTTACAATTATTTGTAAACACATACATGCAAATCCATGCAAGAGAAGTGCTAACCAGGCATGATATAATCTTTCGCTATGAACTTCCACAGTCTCTAGCAGTCATTGTCATGTCAGGCTCTAGGCTGTGGCTCAGGGGTAGAGCGGGTCATCCACTAATCGGAGGGCTGGCGGTTCAATCATGCTCCTCTCGCTGCATGTCGAAGTGACCTTGAGCAAGACACTGAACCCCAAATTGCTCCCAATGCTGTGCATCGTTGTATGAGTGTATATGAATGATTAGTTTCCGTTCTGGTGAGCAGTTGGCACCTTGTGTGGCAGCCACTGCCATCAGTGTGTGAATGTGTGTGAATGGGGATGAGTGTGGCATGTAGTGTATGGCGCATTGAGTGGTCCAAAGAGTAGAAAGGCGATATATAAGTACAGTCCATTTACCATTTTAGTAGGAATTATGAGACTCACCGACTTGTATCGATGCACCGGCATACATTCAGGATGTGGCTGCCCTGATAAAAAAAGTTTGCATCAAATAATACAATATGGGATGAACTCAGGATGCCCTGTTTTGAACATCTTTAAAATCTTTTCTATATCATTACTTACAGAGGCTCAGTGCCTTTATTATTTTGAAATGTGACTAACAATTGTATATTCAGATTGATTCCTCCTCTCTAAACTGTTTTTCAAGGAGCTCTAAGAAGAACTAAAGAAATAAAATCAAACTATCTCTGCCATACTGAATTGCATAGCATCATAACAAAAAATGTGGAATCTCACTGCATCGCAAGAGGGGTGAATCGTATCACTGGTAGCTGCTTCATATGTATCTTTACTGTATCGGATCATTGGCAATGCATCAAGATGTATATCGCATCAGCTTTAAATGGAAATGCACATCCCAACAATTTAGTATTAAGCTACTCTTGACAACTGAATTAAATGATGCCCAGGTTTTCGTAGATTACATCATCAAGAGACTGGTCTGTGGCATTTGTTGTGCTCATACTGGCAGTAGGAGAGGCAGAAGAATTGGTGTTAGAGGATGAAGAAGGACTAGATGACGGTGCTGTTTTGCAGACTTGAGCGTAAAGGTGGGCAAATGGGTCTGGTTTGCTTTCTTTTTTATGAGACACTTCTTCCTTGTTGCTCACAGGTTCGGTATAAATGGGTTCATCATCTGCAAAACACTTTGTTTTCCCTTTTCTCTGAATGAGAGTTTGTTTTTTCTGGACTGGACTGATTTTGTCATAGACCTCTGAATAGACTGAATCCGGGTGATCGATGTTAAAGTTGGAATGTGAAACGGAGGAGTTGGGTGGGGGGGTGAGAGTTCTTCTTGAACTTGGGGGTGTGAGTGGGAGAACACTTACAGGGTCTACATACAGAGCCATGGTTGGTTGTGGTTTTGGTACGGGTTGAATGCAGTCAGCTGGGTCAGCATATACAGCTTCTGATTGGTTATCAAGATGGCGTCCAGAGTGGCTATCATTTGTGGGTACCATTGGAAGAGGCATGAGGGTGATAGGAGCTGGCTGTGCTGATACACACTCTGATGAACCAATCAGACCTTCTTGAGCATGCACACTCTCATCGAAAGCAGCGGGTTTCCTCTCCTGTGTCCTCAGTTTGCTTTCCAGACTGGCAGCCATACTGGTCATATCAGGTATCTTGGGGAGAGGGGAATGAGCCTGTATGTTGGTTACAATAACTTTATCACCGTCTTGGTTTTGGTTGCCGGAAGTAACAGTTGAAGTCTTCCGTTTGATGGTGCTCTGAATCAGGGAGAATATGTTCTCAGCCTGCTGCGTCTCAAAGGTGAAGGTTCCAGGACCAGAGTCACAGCGTCTACCTGCTTCAATGGTTATGGCCAGCTGGTAAGAACAAGAGGCACATAAATCCTTTTCTTAAAACCAGTAGATCTAAGAATGTAATAATGCCTACCCATGTGAAATTTGTATAATTCAGTTTTAATCAACACCATATAAGCAGTAAGAGGGCAAGCTGGTTTATGATATTGGAAACCTTACCTTATCTTTTCCATATCGTCGCAGCAGTTCGTAGGGCCATTCTCTAACTATTTTCTTTTTCTGTGTTTCTCTCAGCAGCAGTGATTGTGGCCCCACCTGCAGCCAGTATGACCCCTGCAGACCGCAACGTGTTGCTGCGTCGGTCTTCTGAACCACCACCCAGAACTCTGAGGCTGGAAAGAGGAAAGAGAATATTCTTTGTGTCATTACTATGCAAACAAAACAAGTTCGCTATGACGCACTTGCGTATGCATATTTTTTGCCTGAATGTTTTCATCCTATTCACAGCAAAGTGGTTAACTGGTATAGGTACCAGATGTGCTCACCCTGTCAGATCTGCTCAGAGACCTGCATTTACAGATGACCAAGCACATTAACACATTATGATTTGGTTTGCTGCCCGATCCTTACATCCTGCTCAATTGGTACCGCACATGTGCAGCTCTGAACAGAGATGCAAATAAAGAAAGATAGCTTGTTCTTTATCAACTACTGTCATTTGGTCCGGAGAAATGATGAGTTGGATTCAGAATGTTATTAATTAAGACTTTTTTTAATCGGCTTTTGGATGGAGTCTGATGAGGTATAATATAGGAGCACAGGTATTATGGTGTCATATATGTACATCACATCTGTAAGCAAATATGTGAGAGACAAGCATGGACCATACACTACAGTGACAAGCACAGTCGTCAGATAACTTAGCTAACATTAGCAAAAGTGCCACCAGATTTGTTTAAGGTTCAGTGTGTAACATTTAGGAGGATGTATAGGAAGAAATGGAATAAAATATTCATAGGTATGTTTTCATTGGTGTATAATCAGCTTGAATAGAGTGGTTGTGTTTTCGTTACCTTAAAATGAGACACACACTTTACAGCCCGTTCTCATTCTCGGGTTGTCAAATGCAGACTCGAGCGGCGTTCAGTTAGTGGCAATCTGCAACTTCACCACTAGATGCCACTGAATTCTACACACTGGCCCTTTAAGTTATTAACAGTACCTTAGCTTATTTTGAGAAGTAAGCTATTTTTACATTAATTAAAATGATGTATCCTAACACATCCTTTTTTTCTGAGCTGATTATGGAAGTAGCTAACAAGTTCACTATCTTGTTTTCTTCTTATCTCTATTGAGAGTTGCACATCACTGATTGGGCAGGATGTACTGCGGCATGAACACAAGGTATCCGTTCACTTCCCGAAGTACAGCCATTCATAATGTGTTAATTTGATATGGCATCTGTAAACGCAGGACCCTGAGCAGATCCTCCAGGCTACATCTGGTACCTATACCAGTTCAATAGCAATAAGTTCACAGCCAAGGCTTGATGATGATCTTTTAGTCCTATGAGTCGCTGTTAGTGTCAGCAGCTACTACTAACCCTCATCTTAATGCTACATCCTTCTGGGCTGACGCTGCTGTTGAGTCTGACACCACTGTGGATGATTTAAGAGAAGTTGGGCCTTTTTTGCTGCTTGGGACTGGCTGGAGTGAGGTGCTTCTCCTTGCATTTATTTACACCTAAGTGATCCCTTCTTGTGTGTTTAGTCTGATTGATAGGAAATAAAGTGACAAGAATGCATTTTTGTGACATTTTCATAGTATTTTGTCCTGGGGAGCAATTTTTTTTTTTTTCACAATGCATGACTACACTGCCGCTTGCCAATAATTTGGTGCCCCCCTGCTGATATTTGTTCCAGCTCTGACACTGACAGTTGGTGAAAGGTGGGGAGCAGAGATAATGAAACTCAGACAAGGGGAACAAGGTGAAGAAGATGAGAAGATAAACCATAGGAACTTTACCATCATCTGCTGAGGCATATATCTGGTTTTCCTCCATTTGAAGCTTAGCAGAGCCTGAGCCACCACCTCTCTGAGAGAGACAGAGCAAGGAGAGCAGAGGGAAGTTAAATCAGATTAGAAAATAATGCCTGTGTATCTGTAAAAAACTGAGTTATACGCTTGCTACAAAAATGGCCTGTTTTGCCTTTACAATTAGCAAGGTACGGAATCTCACCTGAAATGTGCTGTGACACAGTTTTTCTACCCACTCCACACAGTCGTCTTTGAGTGCAGCAAACACCATCGTTCTGTCCCGTGCCTCCACACAAAAGGCTGACATGTTGTCCTGCAAACGGCACAGATGGCAGCTTGAAGTATTTATCTGCCTATATTTCTGATACGTGTGAACATTATAAAACAACCAGAGAGGCTGACCATGGGACAAGCCTCAGCGTTTGGGGGGAGCCTGAGGACACTGATCAGCTCGGACAGCAGGACCACCTTCAGCTTCCTGTCCGTGTGAGGCTGGTGGTGTCTCCGGACCGCAGTGCTGTGCTCACCTCCACCACCAATACCTGGAGGATACATGATGGACAAAGAGACACAGGAGTGTTAAAGGCATACTATGCAGGACATCATCAGTGTCTGTACCTGCAGAGACCCTGCAGCCCTTGAATATGCACCTGTAATGTATTTATGTTATATATCAACTTATTTTATTTACTTTTTTTTCCCAGTTATTTTTTTGGCCTTTTACTGGCTTTATTGGATAGTGACAGCTGTAGATAGACAGGAAAGGTGGGTAGAGAGAGAGGGGATGACACGCAGCAACAACCAGCCAGCTGGTGCCCATATATCAACTTATTATCATTTGGGCAACCACTCTATTAATGTGGAACTAATTATTAATTAATGTGAGTAGTAGTTGCTTCATACATCTGCCAAATTTACCTGCTGTAGTCACACACAGTTTGCATTGTGAGCAGAGAGAATATTGTGCACAAACGCTCTCAGGGAGGAGAAACTGCATGAGGCAACTTGCTTTCCTGGATGCCAAATAGCCACAGGTGATAGCTTTAAGTAGGAGGCGTGAGGAGTATTTTGGCTGGATGAGAAATGGAGCAAGCCTTACTCAAAAGGAACCCAGGTGCTTTACACCAAGAAACAAATGACATGTGTCAGTCAGGAGACACATTTTTGCTCTAAAATTATGAAAATATCCTTAACCCATAAAATCACTGAGATAAATGGAGAAGCTGTCGATAACAGCATTTCTACAGCTGATGTGCTGACTTGTTTTAGCAATGGAAAATTAATCTTGTGTATAGGAATTGTTTTAACAGATGAGGCTCACAGACCGGCTCATCTTCTGTTTATGTGTGAGCAACTCAGGTGTTCACACTAGGGATGTGCCGATCCGATAGTATCAGTTTTTTCCGTTTTCATTTTCTTTTCGAAGCTTACATTGTATACATACAATACACTTGCACCAATACTTCTTATTGACTTTTCTTTTCTCTTGTCTTTATTTGTATATTTGCTGTAATCCAAAAGTTACGGAAATCAGGTTATATTACTTTTGGATTACTTACTGGATTAGGTTACTGACATTTTTTAACAGGTAATTAAATATCGGAATACATTTTTGATGTAACCCTCCCAACCCTGGTGTCATGTGAACATTAGCCTGACCCTGTCAACAGTGCTGTCTTCTTGTCAGGCGAGTGCAATGCATTTTTGCAATTCATTTAAATTTGATAAATTATTCAATCAGAAATGCTGCAAACAGCTATGTGTTATGTGTTTAACTAAAAAGAAGCGGCAGTATTTACCATGGATTCATTTATCTACACAAGTGTACTTTGATTTCTCAATTTCTCAAGTTTTAGGCAAAACCATGCATGTGAATGTGTAATTTTTTGCCTTGTGTATTTGAATATTTCTGCATACTGGGGTCCATAAACAGTGTTGGAACATAAATTGAGAATGACTGGAAAACTGAGACACATACTTCATGCCAACCCTGCATAAGTCAGTGCCCCACTTGTGCCACCCCAGTCAAGAAGTCTGGAAACGCCCCTGTATCGCAGGCCTGCCAGGTCTTATTGAGTCCTGCTGTTTATTTTTCGTTTGTTTGTGGATTGCAGTTTGGTAGCCCTGCTGGACTTTACCCCCAAAGACAGTTACCTGTCTGAACAATGTCAAGCCCCACTAAAAAAAACATCCTCAGGTCGGAAAAAGATCTAAAAAGTGATTCATAAGCTGACAGGAAAAAAGAACGTCTCATTGCTAAGAGACTAAAACTGAACTGAGCTCCGATGTGTAAATGAGACAGATTATTCAGGTTCACTCTGGTAATTTAAATTAAAAGTCAAAAACTTAAAAAGACAAAGTAATACAAACAGATGCCAAACATCTTGAGGATTAAAAAATGACAAATAAAAGAACACATTAGAAATGCATTAAATGGCCTGAATAAGTTGGAATCAAATGAAAACTCAGACAAAATTAAATTATACACAAGCACAAATAACAAACACTAGAGGTCGTCATTTTCATTTTTATGTCCTCACCTAAGGCTTTTAAAAACACAGGTCATTTTATATGTATTGTGTGTGTGTGTGTGTGTGTGTGTGTGTGTGTGTGTGTGTGTGTGTGTGTGTGGGGGGGGGTAACTCCATAAAAAAGGTTGATAGGTGATTAGTTTATTGTATTTTCTATACATTCTATATTATTCTCAATCTTAATTATTATTCATTGAATATCATATTGAATGGAAATGATCTGGCATTAAGGAATCTCTTTTGCTTTCACACAAAAATTCCTAAGTAGGATAGAGGAAATAGAAAAGAGAAGCTCCTTCCTTGTCTTCCCTTCCTAATTTAACCGACTCTTAACGCAGCAGCCACTTAGACACTTTGAGGTCAGCTCACAAATCAACTGCGGTCCTACTGTCCTCTTGAACCCCGTCTCGGTGTTCATCTCATCCTCTGGGACCTGACTCAGCTGGCACATGGTCATCACACACATGCGGGCCATCATTCATGCCTGCAGACTCTAACAGTGTTCTCCAGCCCTTATTGTGTCTCAGCTTTCATCACTCCAACGTGTTCCTCTTTTATAGTAATTTGCTATGGTTTTAGGCCCAGTTATCATTCTAAAACTCCATGTCACTTTGTGTTCCTTGGATTATTTATATGTGCATCCAGTAAATGTAAATCTGCACACAAGTACAGCTTTCGCACATCGTCAGAGAGATAACCCCGAGAGGAGCTGCGTGTTGAAGATGCATGGCTGAGCTTGTATAATGCCATCACCAATTCTGGGCTCTATTTAAGCTGTCAAACTCTCTGCGCATGTTTGGCTGCTGCTCTCTGTTGCTGTATTCATGTCAAACGTATCCCAGCATCCACCTGTGGGCTGACAACGGTTGTACTCATCTCTCCCTGCTCGTGTTTTTTCTGGATTCACATTTGGAAGTAATATGAAAAGGTTTTTCAGGCATTCTTCTAACTTCTGAAAACATGCAGCATTTGGGATGCACTATATGTGTTTTTTCCAAAGCTTTCATTCAGCTGGAAATAACTTTAGAAATATATCTACATATGCAATAACCCAAGCTCATACAACTGATATTTATTAGCACTTTTAATTATGTACCCAAATAAAACTAAAAGCAGACTAACTGTAGTCTGTATTACAGCAGTGTTTCCTAACCTCACACGCATACACCGATGTCACACCACCAACCTTCGGATTAATGGATGAGCCGCTCTGCCTCCTGAGCCCCAATTAAACATTAAAAACACACATTAAAAAGAGAATGGTCAGAATCGATATAGTAGTGGCAGAGCTGCACTGAATTGCATTCCCTAGTAATGGGCCGAGCTCCAAAAACACTGGATCCTATATTTCCCATAATGCAACTTAAAAGCATCTTTTAGTAGACTTCCCCTGCCTGGTGACCTTTCTGGGAATGAAACTCAACAATAAACCTGGCTCTGATCGGTTGTTTTCGTTCAGGGCCGGTGGATTCTTGCAAAAATTTCCAACTGCAGCTTTAAAATTTGAAGTTTTAAAATGGTGACTGAAGTAGAAAACTTTTCTGTACCTCCCATATCCTGGATCTCCAGTCGACCCACTCCACTGGCACTGGGGGGAAACAGAGACAACCACACTGGCTTCCATTTCTGAAAGGGACGGAGAGAGATGGATAGTGACAGAGGGAGTAGAACTCAGGATAACACTGGCTACAATGACCTCAGTAGCAGTAAATGTAAATATACCTACGTCACATACAGTAGTTAGAGTTTATGATAGATTACATAATTTCACCATACACACTTGCACCACCCTCAACCTAAACATTAGTCACATCCTCTCTGTCCAGAGGAGTGTCAGAGTGCAAATAAGGACGAACAACCACAAACCTATGACCCAGTCTTTCCTTCAAAATAAAAGAGGGAATGCCTGCCTGTGTATGTGAGTTTTACAGTGCTGTTAAGGAACAGCTGTTACAGAACTACAATGTCATATTTAAACCCTCAGTGTATAGTTAGTAGAGTACTTTTGGTTCTCTACTAACTATACCAGTTTTGGGTTATAGGTGTGATGGTTGCGATTCAGTCACATGGCCATTGCCTTGGTACCAGCACTGGTAACAGTGTGTGCTTTCTGTCAGTGCTGCACAGGAATGTGCAATGTGGAAACTGCGTTATGTTCCAACTTGTTCATTTGGATTCCTGCTCTGCAGTTTCATCTGAGCAACACTCATAAAGGCTGCTTCTACCAAAACTATAACTCATTCTTCACTCCCTCAGCTGGGAAAATAATACTTTACACACATTAAGTCTAACCTGTTACAGTATTTACATAAGCCAGTATTGCAGCACATCATCTTTCAGTCTATCTCAGTTACTTATTACTGTAGCGTCTTTGTGATTATGTTTTTATGACTGTAATCAGAGCACAAACCAAGGAGAAGAAAGAAAACAAAGCCAAATATTTAAGCTTATATCCCAGGCTCATTAATGATCACTATGAAAAAGTTTAAATCTGTACTCACTTTGCCAGCTTTGTGTGGTTGGAGGTAAACCTTCCCTGTTTTGGTTTGAGAGTCCATCTGGGAAGCAAATGCACTTCACTTGTTCTGGACTTTGGATTCAGAAAGGCGTACAAGGCATTCTTTCTTTTCTTTTTTTCCTGCTGGTGAATGGTGAAGTTGGGGCGTGCCCACGGTGAGACATTCTTGTAACATGATCCTCACCTGAAACACATACGCACGTAGAGGTGATTGCAAAGGTGACGGGGACAGAGTTCAGGAATAAATCAGTTTAAATTTACATGATGACATCTATATCTATATGTACATATTTTTATATATAAACAGCAATCAACCGTTAAAAGGTCTGTATTTTACTATGGACCAAAACAGAATCTGTAGATTTTTTTTTTTGCAGTTTTGTGCCATGACCCAGAATGAAAATCTGCGGAATTTAAGTTATTTTATTTCTAGATAGACAATATTCATTTAAAACAACAAAGATTGTTTTTGAGTAAAAATCTCACACACTGCATTAGACTGCTGAGAGAAATATTAAGTAAAATTTGAAAGAACTTCTGAATGAGAGATTTTATTTCATTAACATCAGTTCAAACCAAAGTGTGAACATTTGTTGGAAAAGGGTTAGGGTGAGAAAGTGAAGGACATGTGGCCACTGAAATGCAAGGTTCAATATGGAGCAAACATTAGTTTAGTGAACATTCATGTTCAAATTGTCCAATACAAGGAATATGATTATGGGTTTACGTTACTCTCAATGTACATCGACATATATAAAGATGGACGACATGATAGCTCTCCAAAAGTTAAGCCAAAACATCTGGATCGGCCCCTGGTGGCTGACTGCAGTATAGGTCATAAAGCCTGCTGCCTCAATGTTAGCAGACAGAACAAATAAAGAGAACTGGATACAGCATTTGAGGCGGCTCCTATGAGAGCTCCTCAGTGGCACATTAAGTAGAAAAAGCCCCTTCCCGCTCCAAAAAAAGGACCTGCACGAATACATACTACACAAACTCTCAGAGGAGACTTCTGCTGGCCAAGCTGGCTAACTTCCCATTTACTTTACGTAAAAGAAATGGTTTGGTTAAGCGTCAGTAGCCCATCTGTTCTGGGCTACTGTAGAAAGATGGCGGTGCAACACGGTGGACTCTGTAGAACAAATCTTATTATACACTAATGAAACTAATGATGTGGTTCTTTCAGTTTGTGTACTGCCAAACCTTTTCTCCTGAGACATTCACTATGGCCTGTAGTATTCGCTGACCATCAACTATATGGTGAAATAATCAATTCCAATTGGGAGTTTTTATTTTTGTTTAGGTCTACGCACCCGTGTTACAGTGCAGGCTACAAATCTTTGTCAGTCTCCACAAGGACATGTGTCCTGACTGGTCTCTCTCTCTCTTACACCCTTCCATATTCAGGGTCAGTGTTAAGAAACCCTGAAGGTTTATAGGCTGACATGTTGAACTCCGATAGGCCAAAGCATTCACATTCTTCTCTGCAGAAGCACTATGATGCTATTGATTTCAGTTCAGATGTCATATACTACAAAAAAATAAAAAATCTGTCCAATGTTGGCCATTATGCACCGCTATTGCATGTTTTTTAGGAACTAAGATTAGATAAGATAATAGACTTGATCCCACACTGGGGAAATTCACTTGTTACATACAGCAGCTCAAGATACAACAGAATATACAGAAGATACACATTAAATAGAACAAAAATAGAAAAACACAGGATGTAATAGAAATAGAAAAATAAGAATTACGTACACTATACACATATGTAATTGATGGAACAGATAATTGCAGAGATTATTTATTACACACATATGTAAAATATTGCCTTGAAAGATGGATGGAATGTGCACAAATATTACAGCAGGAGGTAGTGGCACAGTGTAGAAATAAATATAATTGCAGGGGACAAAAATATACAGCAAGTGTAATTTAATGGAAACATATGCTATCAAAATAAGGATTTATGTAGAGACTAATATATATACACACATATACGGTGGCCGACAAGGGCAAATACGCCGCAAATGGGCAATCGCGCTGTAAACGGCAAAACGCTGCAAACACAGGAATGATGCAAAAACCAAAACCACACAAACACATAAAACAAATGCAACAGAAAAATGCTGCAATCACAGAAACAAAGCAGAAGCAAAAACTTAGAAACCCACAAAACACATGCCAAAGAAAAATGCTTTAAATACAAAAAACAAACAAAACCCCTTATGTCTTTTTTAAACACCGTAATCGTTATTATATAATAATATTATAATTATATTATAATATTCTTTCTATAATATTGTAATATTATTATAGAAGAATATTATATTATAATTATAATATTATAAAAGATGTGTTTAAAAAAGACATAAAGGAAAACGTACCTTTTTACTCTCCTCTCCAAAACTTAGCCAACTTTCTTCTTCTTCGTCTTCTTCTTCATGTCTTTCGGGTGTGGTCCCACAGGACTGGTCCATCCCTCAGGTCTGGTCCCCCTGGTGGCCTGGTGCACTTCCGTTTTGAGGAGTGAATTTGCAGTGTTTCTCTCTTGCAGTTGTTTTGGGGTTTTGTGTGTTTTTGGTATTTGCAGCATTTTTCTTTGGCATTTGTTTTCTGGGTTTCTAAGTTTTTGCTTCTGCTTCGTGTCTGTGATTGCAGCATTTTTCTGTTGCTGTGTTTTTCTGTTGCATTTGTTTTATGTGTTTGTGTTTTGCGTCATTCCCGTGTTTGCAGCGTTTTGCCGTTTGCGGCGCGTTTGCCCTTGTCGGCCACCGTACACATATATATGGGTATAATCACACAGTGCAGGTTTAATGTAATCCTAACAATGTGTTATCATCTTAACAAGAAGAACTAAACTATGTTTAGGCTATCAGCCATAACATTGTGAGCACCTGGGCACCCTGGTGGTCCCATACCAACAGACTGCTCTGCACTGTGTGTTCTGACCTCTTTCTATCAGAACCAGCATTAACTGTTTCAGCAGTTTGAGCTACAGTAGCTCGTCTGTTGGATCGGACCACACGGGCCAGCCTTCACTCCCCACCTGCATCAATGAGCCTTGCCCCCCCCCATGACCCTGTCTCTGGTTCTTTTCCTTCCTTGGAGCACTTTTGATAGATACTGACCTCTGCAGACAGGAACACCCCACAAGAGCTGCAGGTTTGGAGATGCTCTGACCCAGTCATCTAGCCATCACAATGTGGCCCTTGTCAAAGTCGCTCAGATCCTCACAGTGCTCATTTTTCCTGCTTCTAACACATCAGCTCTGAGGACAAAATGTTCACTTGCTGCCTGATATATCCCCCCCCCCACTGACAGGAGCCATGATAACCAGAAAATCAGTGTTATTCACTGTCAGTGCTCACAGAGTTATGGCTGATCTGTGTATGTATATATTAGGTATTATATAAAGGGTTTGCATAAGGTGTGGGTATAAAATGAATGTGTATGTATAAGAAGTAAGTAGGATGTGGTAAATATATGAATAAATAGTGCAAATAAAGTACCTGTGATGTTGTAAGCAGTGGGTGATGAGACAGAGACAACATACAGTGCTACATTATGTCATGCTGGTGTTAATGACTGCTGATGGAATGAAGGGCCATTGGTAGCCCTCCTTCTTGCACTGCGGGGGCAGCAGTCTCTTGCTGAAGGAGCTACTTAGGACCCACACAAGAGCTGCAGTAATTGCCCATCATGCAGCGCCATCTTGGATTATCACTTTTACTTAACTGTGACTCATTCTCTTGGTTTTATTTATACCTTAATTCACCTTTCAAATGAATGAAAATATTTAGTTTGGTCTTAAGGAATGCACTGCATTCCTGTTGTGATTCAGGTTAATCAACAGTAAAGTCAGTCCTACCTATGAAGTTACATACTGTTAGGAAATGTAGCTGCTACATGCTCCACTGCAACCCCATCTCCTATAAATAACATTTGCCTACTAAATTGGTTTCATAATTATGTTGTGGTGACAACAAAATACCATTCTGATTACATTCAGAGACAACATTTTTTGAAATTTTCTTTATGTAACACAGTGATGATGTGGTTGGGATGGATGGTGAAGGAAAAAAATGTGATTTCAGTTAAATGTTATACTAACTATCCAATAGTCACTGCTGTATTTTGAGTAATGCTGCTGTCACAATAATGCATTAATTCCCAGACATGGGTCGATTTTGTTTGTTTGCAAATAAATTTTTTTTAGCATACATTCTGTAAGAGGCAGACAGGTTTTCCAAATAACTGCTACTGGGGGAAAAAACAAAACTATGTTTGCCTAAGTGCTTTTATTGTGTCTCATTTATAAATTATTTAAAATGTGTACTTTGTTTTGTTGATGATGGAAAAATGAGATCCTTAACATCTGCTAAATGCAGTTGTCTCGTTTATAAAGTGAATGTACATTCTGTAAAAAGGAGATGGGGTCTCCAAATTACTGCTACTATGAGGAAAAACAAAAGCCTGTTAACATAAATGCATTTATTGTGTCTCATTTATAATGTATTTAAAAAGTGCACATTGTTTTACTGATGAGGTAAAAAACAAGAGCTTTAACTTTTCTTAAACACATTTGTCTCATAAAGTGAGCGCACATTCTGTTTGTCAAACTGAGAGGAATAAACAACCTCAATGCCTTTATTTTGTTCCATTTATAAAGTATTTAAATGTGTAATGTTTTACTAATGATGAAGGTGTGATTTATCAAACATATATCGCCTCAAAATGGCTGCTTTGCCGGTTGAAGAAAATATAACATGATGCAGAAATAGCAGTAAAAATGGTCAGTAACGTTTGCTCTTCTCACTGTGAAGTGGGAAGCCATGGTTTGTCTTTTCTAAAAAGTGGGTCCCCAGAAAGAAAATTGAAAAAACGACCTGGGAGTCGGGACATCCACTAGGGATCACCAAAGCTTCATGATTCATGATCACCTTCTTGATTATAAGGAATGTAAGAAAACTAAATCAAAAGATACACAGTATGCCTATATTTCAGCATTTGGTTCACTTCTGTGAAGAAATGTAAATGTAAAGTAAAGTAAATTGTCTAAAAGAACAATGAAATATCCATAAAAGATGCCATTTAGTCAGGCGTCCTCAGTTTACAAAATGATAGAAAAGGGTTCCCTTAAAGACAAAGGTTGGGAACCCCTGCTAGTACAGTAAGATTGTCTATTTTATTTATAATATTTAACAAATGAAGTACGTTATCAGCGAACATTTTACTGATATGTTCAGTGGCAACATTTTTGTGGCTTGCCAGGTACTTTTATTAACAATATTTCCTTACTATGTTAAAATACATTTTAAATTGGTGGGCATTACGTTTCCTTCAAAACGTATTTGCTGCAAATTAGTTATATAAGCGCATGTTCACCAGCTAGTCACTAACTTTGACCAGTAGTGGATTTATCAGAACTTTTTCTATGAAAACAGCTGCCTGTTGTGGCTGAAAATTACACTGATATGGGCGGTGAAAAAACCAGTAAAACTAGATAAGTTAATTTAACTCAAAACATTTTTGAAACTGTTTACATCAAAAATGTAAGTAAAGTTAGTAAAACTAACTTAATTTTGTAAGTTAAAAAACATTCTTGATCAAGTAGACACCTTGCACAGGGAAGTGAAAGGTAAATGTTGAACAAAACATAATGAACTCTCTACTCCTTATGGTTATAAGACCAGTATCCGGCAGGACTAAAGCAGTTACACCCATATTCCTGACCATAAGAAACCAATAAGAACAAGTTCAGTCAGAGTCAGGTGGTCTGTGACCCAAAAAGATTCTCTTTAGTGGTTAATCATGATCTGACAGATTGACTTTTTCTATGCCAGGGAATCCTAACATACAAACATGATGATCTGTATAATTAAAATGTACTGTAGCAGGATAACACCTTATGGTCCTTTGTTTATGTTACCTCTTGATGACCTCTTTATAACAAATGTATCACCACAAAGCCATATTATCCTATACATATACATACTTATCCTTATAGCCTTAAAAAAACTTTCTTTTGGTTCATTTATTTTTTTTTTTAATAGGACAGAATATCCATAAAGTATGCCACTTAGTCAGGGGATTTTATCACTGAAAAGGGCCCTTTAAGCAGCCATAGCAAACTCCACCCACAAACAGATTGATTTATGAGCTCTAAGGCTGCTGTGGTTATCAAATCACTAATGACAATCCAAGAGGTCTGTGACTGGAAGCTACTTCTTAAAGGTTATTCAGAATCCCTTCGGCATGGGCATGTAGAGCGTACAACCTACCTGGTTTTATACACTCTGTACAGTATTTAGTAGGTTAATTTCCAAGTTTGGCACACCGCCGTGACATGTAACCACTAATGATAAGTGTCTGTTGATTAACGCAGTGTGTTAATAAAGTGCTGGCAGCATGTTCAGCTCCGGCAGCTGTGAGAGGGCAAAGAGAATAAAGGAGAGAGAAAAAACCACAGGGTAACACACTAGAGTAGAGGAGTGTGTGTGTGTGTGTGTGTGTGTGTGTGTGTGTGTGTGTGTGTGTGTGTGATGAGGCATAACCTACGATTTGTTCAACATTTCACTGTCAGCCAGAGAATGGCCTAAATGAGGGTCATCCTTCCCTCAGAGGAAGGGCACCTCTATAGACCCACACACACACACACACACTATAAGCACACAGTGCCTGCTGTATGTTTGTCTAACATATCATGACTGTTTTCCTCTTCTGGCTGAAATACTACAGAGACATCCTCTGTGTGCAGATATGTGATACAGATGAAATGATGTGTCTTAGTGGTGACTGGGATGAAAGCAGCACAAACTGGCTGCAGGGGCAATTAATACAGCCAAGGCCAGAGCCTGGATTTTAGTAATACTGAGGTCATAAGTCAACCCGCCTCCCAGCACTGGAGCAAGAGAATAAATGGAAAAAGGAAGTGTAAGATAGATACCTGTTCAGGCATAAACATTTATTGCGGTGGTTGCCAACCTTTTTGCTTATGGGACCCATTTTCTATCATTGAGTAAACTGACGACCTCTCACTAAGGGACATATTTCAATTACATTTTTTAATTCAGTTTTATTTGTATAGCGCCAATTCCTAACAGAAGTTATCTCAGGACACTTTTCAAATAGAGTAGGTCAAGACCAAAGTCCTTATAACATTATTTACAGAGACCCAACAGTTCCACCATGAGCAAGCACTTGGTGATAGAAACCTAGGACAGATCCTTCGGCTCTAGGTGGGTGGCCGTCTGTCTCGACCAGTTGGGGTGAGAGAGAGAGAGAAGTAAAGACAGAAGGACAGAGACTAAGGTGCACAGCAACAACAGAAGCAACAACTACACTAATAGTAGTGACTGTTATTGATGTTCCACATAGGGATGCATGATATGGTTTTTTTTTAGCTGATACAATAACTGAAAATTAGCTGCTTCTAATGGCCAATACTGATAAGATAACTGATAATGTCACATTTTTGTATCTAAAAAGTTTATAAGCTGTTTTTTTTCACACACCTGAGGGTAAGAAATGCTGAGATTATAGTGAGCAAAGATGGAAAGGTTCTGTGTTTGTTTGAGCCATACATCCACCCCACCGCCTGCATATGCATATGCATCACAAACAGTTGCCTGCTTCAGCTGGAAATGAATTTCTAGCAAACCAACCAAAACAGTGAGTTAGTGATGATTCTCTGTATAAAAACCTGCTTTTTGTTATTACACATAAAAAAATGTATTAGTTCATTTTATCCATTGTTAATAAAAAAGATATTTGTAAAATCAGCATTAAAGTTGTGTATGTAGAATAGTAAAATCTCTGACTTTATCACTATGGCAGACAACAATGCACACATCCTGCCCAGGGACACTGAGAAGAATGGGCTGAAATGAATGCACTATACTTTTTAACATTGACTTCATTTCCCAACAGAAACCAAATGCCAAATGGGGCCCATGTGTGCTTCTGCTGGCACTGAGGTTGTGTGTTATCATTTTTATTTACTCCAAAAAGAGTTTGTCTTCCTGCGAGCCTCATATGTTCACAGTAAATAGTTACATCTACAGTGAATTCAGCCTCGAGGGCTTCAGTGACACCAGATGGGCACATAAGGCATAATGCCTGCTGTAATCTGAAGGACAGACGGGCTGCTGTGCTGCATGTTCACGATGTCTACTGTGAGAACAGGAAGGAGGTCTGAGAGGGCCAGGGGCTGCTGGCAATGCTCTGAAAAGGTATTTGTAATGAAAAGTGTGACACATTGCAAGTGAGAGCTGAGAAGGAGAGACTGGGATGAAGTGATATGACATCCGCTGTTGGTGAGCAAGGAATATCTTCCATCAGATCGAGTTAATGTTTTTGTAAGTGTGAGACAATGTGCAGGAATTTATCTTTTCTACTTTTGGATACTTATTTTAGTTACTCCTACGCACCTGCCACATGAAACAGATTCAAAAGCAAATTTTTGCTGTATGAGACAATGACAAGGATTCAAGCTCTCCATACTAAAAATAACTTTTAGAGAAATCAACCTGTATTAAATCTATAGGTCAATCCTGGAATGATTCCAACTTTATAAATTTATAAATTGCCTCTGTCTGTTGATGTGCACTTAGCAGTGCTACCTGTTTTTCTATCTGTATCTGACGACCTGGGAAAAAGACTCAACAATCAACTATCTTTCTCTGCTCTAAATGGTTGTTGGTTCTTTTTTCCCCCCACAGATTATCTGTCTCATGTACTACTGTCAGGATATAGTGAAAGTTTCAGCAAATATGACAAAAAGTAATTTTTCTAGTTCCCTTCTTCAGCTATAAAATGATCAATAATTTCCCTCAAACCTCTATGAACTGTTGTAGAAGTATTGGGACTGTTGTAGAAGTATTGGGACTACTTCCATAATAACCTTTCTGTTTCTTTTCTTTTATTCTGTTTTTTTTATTTACTTTTCCCCTTTTTTCATTTTAATCATGTGTATGTTAAAATATATACAATATAATATTATCAGTAACATCTATACTGGTACTATACACGTTATTGTTTACATATACAGTTTTTTTCACTGTGTGTTTTCTGTGTGGGTTAAGATAAGATAACAAAATGGACGCCAACTATAATGAAACAAAAAGGAAACTAACGAAACCCAAATCCCCCCATGACATATCAGCCAGGGGTTTGGCCCAATGAGCTGGCTCCAAGATTTAAGAGTCCTGAACCCTCAGTTACAACTTTTGCTTCAGCAGGAAAGAACCGCCCCCAGCAACCAGGTAACTGAGGAGACAAAGAAACAAATAAAATGTGTGCGCTAAAACAATGTAAGGCTAATAAGCATACTAATAGACAGATTTCAAATCAAACAATGTGTCTTATGTTAATAGTTTGGGTGTGGTTGACAGCAAATGAAATTAACCTGTGTAGATAGCAACTAATGAGGCGAGGTGAGTTTGAGCTGGGGTGATATTACCCTGTGTGGCTGTGGCCATCACAATGAATGATATGTATTTACACAATAAAGTAATATGGCTAATTCACTTTGCTGTGGTGTTTTATTAAATAATATATAATATGGATGACTATTGAAAATATCAGCAAAGAAAAGCAAGAAAACCATTAAATAAAAATAAAAAAGAAGGCCAACATTTAAAAGGGATGATAAGCGAATGATAAAACTAACAAGCTGCTGGCCTTACATTGCACTGTGGGGATTTACTGATCTAGTATGTTTGCAGCAGTGTACATTGTAAACCCACTTTCATTGCTGTATCATTGGTTTTGAGATGACTTTGAGTTGAAGTGTTGAATTGTTGTGGGACAGTCCTGACTAGTTCCTGGTCCGCTCTGGGCTGCCAATTTAAAAAATCCCAGGTTCACCCTGATGAGACTCAAGTCAGTCTGGACTCGAAAGGCATCAACATCACCATCAGCCGAGTGTATCGCCACTAAAGGTGATAAGGATAGAAGAGAAAACCAGTGGCTTAGTATTCATAAGTTGCATACTCAAAGCTGCTCAATGGATTTCAGAGTAAAGAGAGTGTTTCCATAAGGTCCCATATTAAAATGCCACACTTTATAGCAGAAGAAATTACGTCTCTACAGCCAAATTCCCCATTCATGACTGTACAGGAGGTAAATCTTTATATAACTATACTATATAACCATTTAAATTATATTAAGGATTAAAGTAATACATTATTAAGAGCGTTGCCACTTTGAATGACGTTTCAGTAACCAGGCTTCATTCAGCCGCCTCGGTTCCACCAATTCTTAATTGTTTTATTGGTGCAAAAACTAAACAGCAGTGACTTTACAGATACAGCAATGATAAACAGGAATAAGATGCACAAAGACAAACAAACAAACAAACAAAAAATACAAAAGATGACAGACATGGAGAACTATATGAATATATGAAAAACACAAAAAAATGAGGCCAGTCATAATAAATGTAATAATGATGTTGATGTAATGCAGTTACTGCACTTTAAATGGGTGTTTTAGGTGGGATTTTTTATGACACGTTGGATTTGTTTGGATCACACTGACCTTCACACCGGCTCTTCAGAAACCTGTGGGTGACGTCACAGACTACGTCCATTTTTAATTATAGTTTGGTTTTGGGATATTCCACCACACTGATGGATTCTAAATACTGTACATCCCTACTTTACCTAAAACTGTGTTGAGTTGATGAATTATTACCAGATTTCAGTTTTTATTCTGCATTAATTATATATTGGTTCCATGTCAGTGTCCTAACTAGAGCCCTTTTTAGACATGGAACACGTAACATTTCTGCCTTAATCTTTCTGAAGCTCTCAGTTACATTGTTTGTTATGGCTTTATGGCCTTTTTCAGAGCAGCAATTTTAATAAAGTTGTTGGGTAAACACAGGTGTTGCTAGTGATAGTAGTATAGCAGTCTTTACAGTGAGCCAACATGCACAATAGCAGAACCCTGACTCTGTTTGACCTAAATGGAATGAACTATTATTTCATGTCAAAATGGCTGCTGTGAAAAAGATCTGTTGTCGCACAACATTTGGCATATTTGCACAGATTGACAGATTTTTTTTTCTTTGTGCTTAAGAGGATATTAACCTAAAATGTATTTACCTTGTGCTGCTGCAGTCGTTACATTACAGCAACAGCATTCAGTTCTGTGCTGAGTAAATAAATGTTACAAGATCTGACATATGTACAATTGCTACTTTACATTACAGTGACTTGGGCATTTATTTAGACATGAGACCATAATTTAATACTGCAATCACATGTATGCTTAGGGTAGGATGGACTCAAGCAAGTAGGAATGTATGAATGAATGAGGAAATTATTTGAATCATCAAATATACATCTTTCAGATATAGTTTCTTCTTGATGCATACAAATGATGAACTATGTGTCCAAACATATTTTTGGCAAAGACCTAAAAGACTTCACTTTGGTTACATATTTAAGGCGAAAGTGCAGTATTCAGGACAGGTCACAGCAGGACAGAACATGTGGAAGCAAGAGTTGACAGGCTTCCTTAAAAGTTTCACCTTGCTGCACTGTAATTCTCAGAACCTAATGTCTAATTTATATCTTGCACATTGGTGAGAGGAGGATGAGGGATGAATGACAGTGGTGCCAAGTACAGGCATCTCCAGTGTTCCTTTCACACGTTGGTGTGTGACGCGCGTGCTTCCACAAGTCTTCAAATCCCATGGAGAGCATTTCAGAAGTTTTCAGAGCGTGTTGCCTGTCATCCATTGTTTACTTGTGTATTTTGTCCTTAAAAAGGAAACAAAACGGTGTATTTGTCCACCTAAAATCTCCTCTAACTGGACTCTGACGACCTCTGTAAATTGCATATTTCTACTTGTTTATACATTTAGGCCCCAAAAAATGTACTTAGGCCCCCAGATTTAGGGGCTTGGTCACTTGTGGGGCCAGTGCTTAAAGGTCTAGTGTGTAACATTTAGGAGGCTCTATTGGCAGAAATTGAATATAATATTTATAGGTTTGTTTTCATTAGTGTAAAATCACTGTCACTATCACTGCTCATTAGTGTATGAACAATGCTAAGCTTCATTTCAGTGCCAAACTAAATTCCCAAAATGCACTGTAAGACGTAAGTATCTTTGCTCACGGTGCTCATTGACTAAGCTTCAATAAATAAGGAGAGATGCTTTGTACATGTCAAAGTAGGTTAAACACAGCTGCAGGTAATAACATTAATTATGTCAATGCTTGCTCATTATATTATCTGAACCAAGTTAACCATGAGTTTATTAGCTGCAGCTGTTTCCATGCTATGACACTGACTCTGTAGAAAAGCTCCCCTGAGAAGCAAAAGTATTGTTACAGTGACGTACATTGAAGAGTCTGTACATTTTTACAGACTGTATTAATTTAGCAGATCTCCAGGTGTAACACGTTTAAATTAACAATACTGTAATACACTCAATTTGAGATTACAACGCATGACATATAATATGACATATCATAATTATCTATCTAAGATGTAGGCCCTTTATGCTACTACTAAACTTTCTCAATATTTTGACTAAGTATCTCAAAATAATGACTTAGTATCACAAAGTCATTATTTTGAGATACTTTCCAAACCGAACGATTAATTAGTGGAAAATAGTCTGCCGATTAATGTTGACATTACTATAAAAAAGAAATTGTAGAAAATATAAAATGTAAAAAATAATAAAATATAACATTGAGCTTTGGCTCTGCTGGCTCGTAAATTGGCCTCACAGTATTATACAATTAGCTTTGGCTATACAATACAAACATAAGCCTATAGGCTATGGCTGCAGCTTATGTCTCAAAATATCTGCATCAGGCCTATTCAAACTGGCTCCCCCTGATTTCCTTTTATACACTTTCAAATATAAAATACTATTTATACTATGGCTTTCTTAAAACTTGATTATTTACTGAAAGATGTGCATCCAGATTTCCCAGTATGTCCAGCTACTACTATCAACAGTTTAAATTCAATATTTAATCAATGTGTCAGGTAAAAAGCACAATGAAGTCTCACACTGTTCACCCAATATGAAATCAAACACACTTAACTAAAAGTCACCAATTTATCCTCATTGTCAGGGTGTGTGATTTGAAATCCAAAGAACAGAGTCACAATGAACATTTCTTATAGGGCCGGCTCTGTTGTCCCCTCAGGGTGCTCTTATCTGAACTTCAGTCAACATTTCCACTCTACCCAACAACTACTTTGGCCACATATGGCAAACTGTCCTCAACACAGGCTACTTTCCAGCCGGGAATCACAACCACATGCGGCTCTATGAGCTCCTGCCTAACGGAGCAGAATGACAGAGACAGCACGAGACAAATGGAGAAAGAGAAGAAAGAAAAGAAATGAGGAGGATGTGAGGCTGGAGAGCTACATAGGGACCTATATAGACAGAGAGAGAAAGAGAGGATAAAGCGTAATAATGCATGGGTGGGTGTTCAATTTGATCCAACTCGCTGGGCTTTCTAATTTCAGATGAAATTTAGCTGGAAAAATTAACAACACTGTACACGATTGGCTGAGCCGCCTGTCAGTTATGCCAATCCGGAGAGGAGGGCGGGTCTCTCTGCCCCCGTGCTTCTCGAGGGCACAGAACGAGCCCAGAGCAGAGTCTGAACAGCTGTCGCGCGCTCCGACCGCTTTTTCATTTCTCAACATTTTTCAGTGAACTGGTTTGTTCCGTGAGATGTCTGCCTTCCATATTGTTTTTTTCGCCCCGATGATGGGAATTAACCGAGCACTGTGAGTTTTTGGAGTCCTGTTGCTACAGTATGTTTGTGAGTTGCCCCCCGCGTGTTGTTTGACCACAACTGGAGCGCGAGCGCTGTTCGCGGTGCTGAAAGCTTCAAAGAGCCGCGAGGAGAGCAGAGGTTCCCGAGCCTCTGGAGAGAGATGAGGAGGAAGAAGCTGTCTGTGGCGGGCTTTTTAGTCGCCTGGAAACTAGTACTGTTACTCAGGTAAGACCTGGATGTATGTTAACCTACCCGACCGGTAACCTGCGTATCAGACAGACAGACAGACAGACAGACAGACAGATAGATAGATAGATTCGGGGGAAAATGGTGGACGTAAAAGAAAGTTGCTGTCACTCCATTCTGCTCACACAAAAACATTACACAAAAGTCAGAAGGGAGCGCCTCGATTCAGATTCCAGCTACAGCTTGTCATTCCTTTGTGCAGCCAGATAGTTTTAGATTTATTTGAATTATTTGGTAGTCAGTAAGAACTGTAGCAACAAAAAATAGTCGATTAGTTGTCAGCTGTTAAATTAACTGTCATTTTGAAATTGGATTACTATTTCTTTGTAATTTCTTCCTAAAAAGTCTTTCAGCTTCTCAAATGTGAATATTTTCTGGTTTCTGTAGTCCTCTGCCACAGTGAACTGAATGTCTTTGGGTTGTAGACAAAACAAGACACTTAAGACGTTACCTTGGCCTTTGGTCAACATTTTTCACAATTTTCTTATATTTTATGTCCCAAACTACTAATCGATTAATTGAGGAAACGATTGACGGATTAGTCGACAATGAAAATAACGTTTAGTTGCAGCCTGGATGTCTGATCCTTCTCTGTCCGGATTGTTACCTGGTTGGTGAGGCCAGTGTTATCTGCCAATATTTGCTGTTTACATATGTCAGTATTGGCATTAATGGTGGAGGACATACTAAATAAAATTTTCTTGCATACTGTTTAAAAGGCTGTATTATTTATGTATTTTTTTTTAACAAATCTATCTTTATTTTACTATTTTCTAATTGAACTGTAAAGTGCCGTATTTCTGTCTTGATATATATTGATTCAAGCCTTAAAATATCCAGTATTTGTTGGGGTGTCATTGAAAACATATTGCAAATATTTAACCGTGCCCAACATCTGATCATTTCTCTGTATGCTTGAAACAAATTGTTTGCATGTGCCGTGACAACGTGTACAGGCAAAAGTGTATAGCTGTTCTGAATGACAAAGGACGAGCAAAAAGGGCGAGAGGCGATGAATCTTACAGGGGACTGGGTGTGCACTCGAGGACAGTCTCTCAATGAAGGCGATAGTTGTGTGAAGAATAAAAAAAAATCGGATCTTTCTTTCTTAGCACATGCAACCTTGCCAATCGCTGTGTGAAGGTATTCTCAGACCGTCAAACTTTAGACAAAGTCTTGAGAAGTGTTGAATGCAGCCCTAACGCTGTTGGATGATCCAACAAGGACTTCATTTGAAGCCTACTACCTTTATCTTGTCTGAAAGTCAGTTGCTCTTAAAGATCTTTGGAACAATCCTTGGCTGCACAACATGAGTTTGTTTGACTCATGGTGAGTCTGGCAGAGTTAAAGAGGTTAGCATTCCTGTTGTCTTGTCAGTCAGTACTTTCTAATAACAAGTAGGTGTTTTATTTAAATATACTGATCCTCATGCTGGACCACAGGTACTAAGTTGAAGATGACGTCAGGGGAATGGGATCAGTTTGTCGAATGCTGTATCGTAGACATCACTTAACTTAATCCTTGACATTTGAGCTACCTTCAATCACACATGATGTGAAGCTTCAGACTCATAAGATTTTGTCTTTGAAACCCTTGACAGCAATGTAAAGATATGTAAAGTCCAAAAGGGACTTTACATATCTAGGAGCATTTTCTCCTTCCCTCATCCTTCCCTCCTCCTTTTTTCCTTATCTGCACCTCCTTCATTAATAAGTGAACTTTTTGTAGGGATGTTTGCTGCGTTTAACTTTGACATGCTTTAGTATTTCACGTTTAAAAGCAACACTCACAAAACACACATTTCCAAAGTTTAAGCAAGCTTTAGCATGAAAAGCAGCCGAGAAGATCAAAGCCATAGTAAATCTTCTTAGAGGGTCATGGATGGATTCAAAGACAAAATTTAACAGGCTTATAGTCTGTCATTCAACGGGAGCCGGTCTGGATCAGCCTTGAGCTTGTCATTCCTGTATAATACTCAAAGTCTTTGTTTCCCCCTCTTTTCTCTTTCTCGTTTTTTCCCCCTGTTGTTTCTTTGTCTGAACGCAGAGGGACATTATCCATGGTCACTGGTCATATCATACTACAAACGTGGCTACGATACGTTCTCATAATCAGACATATGCATTCTGCTACTGTATGTTTGTGTATTTATATATGTTCAGCATGGATGAAGACCTAGAAATTTATGTAACCACTAATCTCATACTTTTACTGTTTTTTAAATACGATGCATATGTTTATTAAAGTCCTCCACCCTGTGTGCATTAGGAGTTACCTCTAACCTGCAGTTGGTCATTTTGATAGTACTTTTTGCCATTTTTTCTGAAACCTTCACTATATCCTGACAGTAGTACACGAGACAGATACTCTCTCTTGTTCCTCTAGCTTGTTGTAATGCTCCTAATGGCATTTGCAAGAATCCACTGTGCCTGTAGCGAAGCAACCAATCAGGGCCAAGAAGGATAGTTTATTGTTGAGTCTCATTCCCAGGTTGTTAAATACAGATGCTTTGGGACTTCGGGAATGAGACTAAGCAATCAAGCTATTATTGCCTTTGATTGATAGTGACAGGAAGGGGGGGTGAAAAATGTTCAGTTGACTGAGGGTAATGACTAACCACAAAAATCATACGTTTGATCATTGAGTGTAACACTAAACACTACTTCAAAAATACTGTGGAAAGCCCTGTGTCAGAGAACTGAGAGGAAGTATTTTATTTAATTTCCATAAGTTTCTTGCATAATGCAGTGTGTGCATGCAAACCTGTCTCTCTTGAATGTTTTAGTATTTGCCTGTCTCCTCTCTCCATTACAAGCCATTGTAAGCCGCTGGCCTCTGTTGTATGTTTTTCTAGTGTTTTCTGAGGACTAAAAGAAAAAAAATTTAAAACTGGGAAATTGGATCCAAGATGTATTTGAAAGTGTTTCAGTCAGACAGGGCAAAAGTGAAGGACGGCTATATCAATATATAATTATTATAATAGCTCCTATATAGGCGAGTATATAGGTTTTGAGTCAATCGCCGGTTGTTTTTTGGGCAATATTTATCATTTTATTTAGCTAATTTAATGGTCTTCCACTGAAGAATAAGAGCTTCTGCTTAGCAGTGCTGTACACACACTAAGCCAATTGAGAGGAAAAACAGCGGTAGAGCCAGTGTATTTCACATCTAACTGAGGTGAATTAAGGGTTTATTTCGACTAGTTTGATGACAGGGAATACAGTCACGACTATGGGGAAGATGAGGACACAGCAGAGACAGGAGAGACATGAAGGGGGTAGAGGACCATCAGAGAAGCAGCGAAAGCGCGTAGAAGCAGAATATTTTCACACTCTGTTAGAAACCAGAGTTGGTGATTGTTGGAACAGTGTAAAGACTAATAAAGACTGTTTGGTGAGTTGTGTTTTAAGATTGCTTAACAAGGTCATAGTCTAGTATAAGAAAGAAACCTAAATTTAGAAGGTGAATTTTTCTGTTTAATGGAGAAGATTGGTGTTGACATTTGGCTCATCTCCCAGCTACAACTACTGGGACGCTGTGTAGGGGAGTCGGGGGGGCACTGGTGCAGCACACACACGCATGGGTGAATACATTATAACATATCACCCAACCCTCGTGGACATGGCCAGTTTGGTAGACGTCACCCAACCCGTGGGTGTCCCTGATTATGTCCTCATCCACCTGTGAAGGGTCTTCACGTTTATTTCAATTTGTTCTGACATCATGCTTTTTCCTCCATTAAGCACCCTTCCTGATACAGGCTTAGGCTGTACTGGCTATGAAGTATAATCTCATACTGTAATATGTCATGGAGGTTTATGTCAGCCTAAGGATGATGTCACAAAAAGTAGAAAAAGATAGTCCCCACTCAAAGAAGTTGTCCAGAGGCTGCACGTTCTCTTATCTCATTTATTAGCACAGGGGAATTAAAGCAGTGTAAACATTTGGGCCAGGGGCCTGCCTCACTGTGCTCTAATCTGTCACTTCATGCAGTCTGTCTGTATTTATCTACCATTTCATAGCAGTTGGCCTGTGGTAGTTCGACAATCCGGTTAAAAAGATGCAAAGTATAAACAGATAGGAAATTAGATAATGGGGGTCTAGATCCAGCATAGCATTGAACAAAGTCAAACATATCCAGCCTGCAGATCTAAGCTGTCAGCTGGAGTCATTTCTCTCCACTGAATATACTGTAAATGATTCAATTGCCACTAAACATCAGAAAACACGTTCCACAGATCTACACTGTACATTGTAATTGCTCAAATATGTTTATGTATGCATACAAGTCTTTTTAAAGTCATTTAGTTTTTAAACCTTTCTGAACGTTTTACTGATAACAGCAAATACACAAAATATATATTTTAGTTGTTTGTGAAACTATGTATAGCTCTGCTTTTAAATTTTCAAGTAAAGTACAATACAATGGGGAGATAGTTGTACTTTACAAGTGTCTTCGAATTGTGCGTTTTTGTTGTTTGTGGCCCCTGTGGACAAAGCCCCCCGCCTCGTTTCACTGATTTCAAGGTGGATCCAACCAAATCGGACCCGATGGCAGGCATTAAGAATAACTATATAGAAATAGGTCTTGTTTGTTAATGTGGGTCATATAGAGGCATCAGTATTACATTGAGACTGTTTCATAACCAGTTAAAAGCTCCTTTTAGTACATATAAATACAATTAAGCACTTGAATAAATGTACATTATATACTGAATATTAAAGGAGTTGCATACAAAGTCTATAGTAAGACGCAATCAAAGGTGTCAGTGCAGGTTGAAATGTTTGAATGTTAAAAATGTTTTGACTTGAAGCTACAGGACAGGTTGTCTTTAATGTATAGAGCTGTGGCTTCTTTGATACTGGAGGTTTTTTATTGTCAGCAGCTCTGGAAAGCTCTGTAATAGTTGGGAGGCAAAGGAAAGTTTCATTCTTAACATGACAGCTAGGGATGCACCATAATTATCGGGGCAGATAAA